TAAGGTTCCTAATTTTGCTAATTTAAAAATCTAATCCTTTTAACCTAAAAAATAAACTAATAAATTCCAAAAATATAAACAACAACCGCAATTTATTTCCAAAAACATAAAAAAGAAAAACTACATAAGCAACAGATTAAGCACTAATAAGAAGAAATTTACGAATAAAATTTTATAGGCGGTGTTGATATTCTAAACTACGGGGAGGGGAGAGGGAGCGAGCACAATGGGCATCAAGCAAATCCCTCGGGTAGGGCCTTCTTTCCTTTCCATTCATTACATTCAACTGCATCCACATGCTCCGGAAATAGTTCCTGGTTGTGAACCATTAAAAACTGGCCAAAGAATTGTTTTCGCAAACAATCCTTTCGGTTGTTGGACATTGTTGCAACTTTTAATGTAATTAAGGCAGCAACTATAAGCAGATACATAGTCGTTGAAGAATAATTTGTATATACAATTGTAAATTGCGTTTCTGTATATGCTAAATGAGGAATTCTGAGTTGGGCTAAGAAGAGGTCTGAAGTCTAAATCTATGGCTTGCATTAATTCTGTGTTGTTATTTTTGTCAGGTTTACAACAATGGGCATAATCTTGGGGAACAGTTTGATTGTAAACAGTAACGTTGTTATTGGTACACTGAAAAGTTTCAAAGTGATTAGAATAAGAATTTGGTAACTAACAAAGTGTGAAGAGGCGATAACTTGCCAGAATTGACACTGAAAACCGTTCCCAAAAATTGTCGTTTGGTAACATAACAAATGTGCCAATGAACTCAAATATGAGAATTGTGCCGATAAAAATTTCAAACGTCTAAAGGAGTCAGTTTCAGTTTTGAAGAAGCTGTAGCAATTTGAAACGTAGTTGTTAGCTTCGGCAATTGTTGAGGAGTTGTAGTTCTGAGCAGTGGCATTGGAATTGATGGAGTTGTTGAGTGATTGTAAAAGAGAATTGCTATCTGCATCTCCGCTCAACATGGAATTTCCAATCGAGGAGAGTGTTGTATACTATTTATTAGGGAATCTTTGTATATATTTAAATCAAAAATACCATATCACAATTGGAAAGATACTGTTGAACTGTTCCAAACCCAGTGATGTATGCATTCAATATTGCTTGCCACAGTGTGGGAGATGCATTATTAGCGCAGTATTGGCGAAGAACCATAGCGATATAGGCATGTTTTCGTTCAATTGGCCAGTCATCATCGTTTTTAAAGCAGATCCTTTTAAACCATTTTGTCCATGTAAGAACGATTGCGGTTGTCCCATTGCCACATTTGTCATTAGCTGTTGCATTTTCCATAGCAGCAGTTAGCGGGGAATTGCCAATATTATCCACTGGAACTATTACTAATTTCATATTATCTGCATTGAAGCTGAATCCTGCAAGAATAAACTCGAAGATCCTTCCCCATCCAGTAATTTGTTCACATTCAATTAATGGTTCAATGTCAGCGTTGTTTGCGAAGAAAAGTTTTAAATGATAAGCACATCTAATAACCTTTACCCATAAAGTTAAAGTCACATCAAGGAGCTCAATCTCTATCTGCTTTATACAGACCTCGAAACGGTTCTTTAATTCAAAAAATATAAAAATTTAAAATAATATTTATATTACTTGCTGGTCAAAGTTCAAACGCAAAAATTTAATTCTTCTTAACTCATTGACTAGAACACATGGGCAAGATCCTGATGTTGAGTTAGAAGTAGAATTGTTCGAATAAATATAATTAATTATTGTGACATTTGCAGGAGCTAGACTTGCAGCAGATGATGTATCCAGGCTTACTCCACTAGCACCCGTAGCCAGACTTGCCGCAGCGGATGTGGTTGTAGAAGCCGTTGTAGTTGTTGGGGCATTACTAGGAGTTGTTGTAGCATAACAGTCACATATTGGCCCAATGTTACATTCACGATGAGCTTGGCTATTTGAGTTACTTTCCGAATTTCGTGTATTAGTTAAAGGTGCAGGACAATTGGTTGACATAACAATGCCAAAACAGATCCCGAAAGCCAGAATATTTCCTAACAGAAATTTGGATCCCATGTTTGAGCAGTTGAATATAACTGATTGGAAGGGAAGGTTTATTAGTTTTATTAGGATTTTTGTTCGACTACGAGGACGAAACATGATTAGTGGGACTTCTGACTGTTTTTTATAGTGAGTATCTTCTTGTGTGGTCGTAGTAATCTTATGCATGGAAATTTAAATTGAAGAGATTTGAATTTTATTTTTGTTTTTCAGCCATCGTAAAGTTAATTTTACCATATTTACATGTTGTTTTGATAGACAAATTTATCAAATACATAGAATATTTTTATAATTTAGCTTATTAATTTTTTATTATTGTTTATAATATATGTAATACATACAGGACTCTGGTTATAGTCCACCAAGTGGATATTGAGTGTTATCTTCTGAGATTAAAGTACCCTGAGGCCTGAGATTAAATTACACTTAGCTTGAGCCAACTTAATATTCTGTTTATTTGACATACATATAACTGATTGGGATTTTTTGCATCTTACTTTTCTCGATAAATTTCAAAACTTTTTCGTACGTGAACGAGATCTCGAAAAATTCTTGATCTCGATAACTGAAATTTCTGATTTAGATCTCGTCTCGGTCCGGCCTTTAGTGCCAACCCGACTCTGGACATTTTTTATTATTTCATATTACTTCCGCATGTGCGGAGTACCTTGTATAATTGTATGTACTATTGAGGTAAAATCCTAAATTAGCACCTTATTATTTCTTTAGTTTTTGATTTTTTCTCCAAATTTTTTTTATCTTCATCTCTTATGATTAAAGGTAAATTATTTAATTTAATATAAATATTATTCCATTCATAAAATATTTTATGTAATTTTTTATTTTCTTCATATCCATTAATTAATAAAAATTCATTTCTATTTATTATTACATTGTTTTTAATTTTCAAATAATTAGTGATAAAAAAGTTGAAAATTTTACAAATTTCTTGTTTGCCTAGTTTTTCTTGAATGTTTGTTTTTTGATTATTTTTTAGTAAATTATTATTATTTAATTGTTCGTTATATTCTAATTGAGGAATTGGATCATTCAAATGTTCTAATTCGTTAAATTTAAAATTTAGACGAATTGGAGCTCCATTAAATTGTTCTGGCGAATGTTTTGTAACTAAAATATAATTTAAATATTTATTCATAGATTAATTGCCAAGATTTCAGTGATGTTCGGGAGTTAAAAAACCGAGAGTCTAGACCGAGACCGTGAATCAACCCCGAGACCTAGAACCGAAACCGAGAGTCTCGAACATCACTACTAGATATGAATATTTATTTTCTTTGTCGTGTTAAACTCGAATAACTATATATAGATGGCTATAAAGCTTTTGCCGTTGAATCTATTTTAGAAGTCACACTCCGTTCAGTCCCTAAAGAATTTTTAGAAGAATTTTTTAAATAATTGAAAAAATTATTACTTAATAAGTGGTCGTCCTCAGGTAGCTTTCCTTCATAAATTCTAGCAAAGTCCATATAGGCAAAAAAATCTTTCGACATCATTTCCAATTCAGAACAAATATCAAACATCTTTTAAAATATAATTATTAAATTAAAAAAAAATTTAAGTAAAATTAGAGCACATTTTTAACCTTGTTCCCCAAATTTCTTACATCATTTTAAAACAAACCTCATTATCATTTTTAATTTTTCTTTTCAAATTTTTATTTTTTCTTTCAATTTTTTCACAATTCCAATTAATCAAAACATTTTTGATTAAATTATTAATTTCTATTAAATTATTATCCTTCTTCTTTTTCAATTTTTTCCATTCTTTTAATAAAATATTTCCAAAAATTTTATTATTTTCGGCATTTTTGCTTTTTAATTTTAATTTATTTAGAGGAGGAAATAAACAATTAGAAAAACAATTTGGCAATTTATATTTCCCTATTTTAAATTCTGATTCTATTTCCCCTATATTATATTTAATTTTAATTAAATAATCCTTCCATTTTTGAATTTCTGAATTATATCCCAAATAATCGCTTTTAAACTTAAAAAAAATAAATATTAAAAAAAATTTTTTTCTAGTTAGTATTTTTGGTTAATATTTAATTTATTTATTTTCTTCCACAATATACATACCTATATGTAAATATTTTAATTTAAAATAAATTGCTAGAATCTTTCTAAAACTAAAAATTTTTTCCGAAAATTAAAGAGAAAAATCCAAAATAGTAAATATTTTGGATTTTGAATTTTTTTCCTTTTTCATTACCTTAGGAAGAAATTTCTGTAAATTATTTTGGAGAATCTCGAAAATTTTATTTCTAAACCAGAAATTGAGTAAGGAAAACTTTTATTGAATTTAAATATTTATTTTTAATATTTAATTTTATTAAAAATAATAAAAAAAATTTTTTCTTTAAAAATTGATTTAAAAAATGAATAAATAACTACTTTATATTTCAATTCTTCTAATAAATTATCCTTATTTGATTCCTCAATAATATCATCATCACAATTGTAAATTATAAATTTTGATCCAATAATTATTTTTAAAATTAAAAATAATTTTCTATAAAATATTTTCATTATTTTTCAAATAAATAATTAATTATTTTCTAAATAAAAAATATTTATAAATTTAAGCAATTTTAAATTTCAGGCAGGAGGGATAAACAAAATTCAATTTAAAAATATCTTGAAATTAATTTTAAAATATTATTAAAAATATTAATTTCATAATTTATTTTTTAAATTAAAATTTAAAAAAAGTCAATAATTTAAAAATAATTGTCTAGCACTTTTATTTACAATGTCAATTTATTAATTGCCCTTTTCACTGATTAGATGTTGAAAGAGGAAAGGATTTAATTTTTTAATTTTAAATACAGGGTGCGCCATAAGTAATTGCACACTTTTAAATTCTTTATAACTTTTTTTATTGTCAATATTTATAAACGATTTTATGCTTATCTTTTAGCCCATTCAATTCTCTATTATGGCTAGTCAACGTGATTCTAATAGTTTCACTTTTTTGGCAAAAAAATTCTGTCCGCAAAATTTCATCTCCTCCTCCAGTAGCACGCATGTCCGGACATTCTCTTTTCTGACTAAAAAATTTTTACAAAAGAAGCCGTACACAACCATCAAAATTTCAGAATCTGTACTACAGTATCTCCTCTTTCCGATAAGACTATCACTCATTGCCAACATCTCCAATCTGTCATGGTTTGGGCCGGTATTTGCGCGTCAGTCAAAAAACTCCTTATTTTCGTGGATTTTGGTGTAAAACTCAACAAAGACTATTACTTGCAAGAATTTTTTCAACGTGTTCTGAAGCCTCGGTTCAAGAGCCATTTCGGTCGCATAGTCTGGATTTTCCATCAGGACTCTGCTCCGGTACACAAGGCGAAAGTTAAGGACTGGTGCAAGGCCAATTTTCCTGGGTTCATCAGAGCTCAGGAATTGCCGCTCTACTCCCCGTATCCAAACCCGATGGATTATTCTTTTTGGTCTATTTTGGAGTCCAGGACCTGTGCTATGCCTCATAAAAGTTTGGAGTCTCTGCGCCACTCTCTCACCCAAGAGTGGGACTTAATTACCCTCAAAGAGGTGCGTGCTATTTGCAAAAATTTTTCTTCGCGCCTTCGCCTCTGTATCAAAACCAAGGGTGGGCATTTCGAAACTTCCTGATTATTATTGTTCCTTATTTAATTCTCTATCATTTGATTGTATTTCGATTTTATTTGATTGTGTTTTAATAAAGTTATGAGAGAAAACAAGTGTGCAATTACTTATGGCGCACCCTGTATTTTAAAATAAATTTAGATAGGCAAACACAATAGTTGGAAGCAAAAGGTTATCAGAACCGGAACCAAAAATCGGTATTTTATGGAAATAACCGCACAGAAACCAGGGAATCGAAAACTCGTGATAAATGAAAACAGAGGGTAGAAATCCTCCATTCCACCAAAAATTTTGCATGTTCAAGTATAATGAAACGATTCAAATTTCTGAAAACTTTGAAATAATTAAAACAAGAAATTTTCTGATAAAAATACCAAGCTGGTTTATGACGGAAGGTGCCAGATGTAGAATTAACTACAAAATCAACTTCTTCAACCTTTTAATTTCACAATTAAAAACCCAAAAATCTTTACTCAAAACAAATATACATTTTATAAAGTACATGTAAAAATTAAATAAATAATAGGTAGGGTTGTTCAGGACTGTTCCAACCAAGCTGAAAATAAAGGTTGAAAACAAGTGATATCATAACTTGTTTGAACAACCCTCATTTTTCATAAAAAATAAATTCAAAATAAAATTTAAAAAAGTGTCCTTAGGACAGAATTTGAATTTAAAAATATAAAAACATTATCCCAATAACTTAAAAATAAAAATGTTACTCAAATCTTTTAAAAATAAATACCGTAAATTCTCTAATTGAAGCACATGTGCATGTATTTTTCGATCCTCCCGTATGGTGTGCTTATATTAGAGGGTGTTCTTCTATAGAAGGGTGTGTTTCTATTAGAGAATTTACGTTATACCCAAAAAATATACCCAAAAAAATAACCCGATTTTAAAAAAAAATGTTTTTTATACATAGTATGTACATGTTTACTCTCTTTTAAACTTTTACTGATTTCCAATCATTTCTTTCATAGCCTGAATAAATTCGTCTTTTGATTTGTTCATACGTCCCTTCAATTCGTTTGTATTACTTTCAAAATTTCTAAAAATTAATTCAAATATTTTTAAATAACTAAAATAGTAAGATTACTGTTTCTAATCTTCATCATTCAAAACCTTTTCTAAAGCCATTTTTAAATTCTCTTCCAAATTTTCATCTCTAAAATCAACTTCCTCAACATATCCACGTAATTCTGCTGCATATGCATTATATGGTTGGTCTGAATTATTTGGGATACAAACCATTGGAATTTGAAAATAAACTCCTTCAAGTAATGAATTAATTCCACAATGAGTGATCACTGCTTTTGTTAATTCATTGTCTAAATATTTTTTTTAAAAATTAAATTGAATATATAGATCATATTTTTGATTTTTATTTTCTTAATGGCATAAAACCATTAGTCGTTCTATGCGTATATTCTTGAGCACCATGTAACTCATCTCATTCATTATTAAAGTTAGGCGGTATCGGGAATTCGACCTAAAATCTGTATCGGTATTTTGGAATGATATTACCGATACCGGCCTCGGTATCAGAAAAACGGTTTCAGGATTTACCTTTTGGTTCGGACCCAGAGGAAATTAATTCCAAAAAGTTGGATAATATTAAGAAAATATTCTGGATCAATCTTTCTATGGCACAATTTTTACGGATATTTTGAATTTCTTTGAACATTAATATTTAAATAATAATATACCTAAAAGTGTTGTTTGTTGAATATATCCTTCTTGAATTTTAACATTTTTTGGGACAGGAATTTGTTTTTTTATGTCTTCCTTCTCATTATCAAAATCAAATTTCCAAATAAAAGAATAATTTTTAAAGGATCCAAAAACATTTAAATATTTTTGAAATAAATCAACAGACATATTTTTTGTTGAAATTAATGTTCCAAAACTGACAACAATAATCCCTTTAAATTCTGTTGATTTCCTAGCGTTTTTCAGTAATTCCTCCGTTTCCTTAATTTTTAAATGAATTTACTATAGTCTAACTAACAGGTCCAATAAAAATTTTAAATTTTTGAATTCAAACTAGGGCAGCAACCCGACCCCGAAAACCTCGACACGAACCCCGAAGGCTCTACCCCGACAAACCCATGTCCGCGACACACCTGCCCCCGAAAGGTCAGGTTGCTACCCTAGTTCAAATTAGATTGCTCTACATAAAACTTCGGACTCGGGAATTTTGGATTAAATTTTTAACAGCCTTCTCTGACCCAAACATATTTTGTGTATTGTCTTTTACTTTGAAGTGCAAATCCGATCGAGTTAAAGGATATTCTTTACTTCCCCATTTAGTTCAAGTCACATTTAGGTATTAGACTCCTCAACATTTATTGAACTCATATATAATTATAAATAATTACAGGCTTAATCGGTTCAGGCTCCGTAGCAATAATTCCTCCAATAAATTTAACTTTATCCTTTAAATTTTTCTCAGTTGAAAATATTTCTTCAATTTCCTTAAAATCCAATTCTAATTGAGTATTACAAAAAATATATTTTGTTTTTTTAATTAAATCCTTAAAATTTTTAAATTCAATTTTATTTTTTTGATAAATTATTTTAAATGCTTTTTCGGCATTTTGATAATATATTTTGTTTGTTCCCCATTCATTTTCATAATCACTTTTAATTCTGCCTGTTTGTGTTAATGCTTTCCTTCCAACAGCTAATAATGTTCGTCGCTCTTTAAAATAAATTTAAATATTTTTAAAATTTAAATACAAATTTACCAGGAATATTTTTAGAAATAATTTTTTCATTTAAACCCATTAAATAATAAAAATGGGTATCAAAAGGCAAAACTCTTGTCAAGACAATATTTTTTGTTGAAATACCAACAAGTGGGAAAATCATTAAGGCTCCTATATGAAACATTTCACAAAGGCCTATTGTATATTGTGCTCCTTTTAATTCGTTTATCAACTTTGTATTTTTAGCCAGCACTAAAATAATATAATAATTAATAAATTTTATTAAAATACAGTTGAAACTTGGATTTTTAAACCCTCACTTTGGGACAGTAAAACAGCGGGGCTATAGCTATTTATCTCCTTCGGCTTGTGCTAAAGGTTTTTCGGCGGTTGGTAACGAACCAGCATTTCAGTAGACCGGACTGATGTTTAGCCATTACACCACGCCGCCTACTACACAGCCTTAGGAATTAAATAGTTATATGCTTTACAGGACTGGAAAAATCGTATTTAAAAATTAGGGATATCTTGAATTGGAGGTATCGATTTCATTTTTTGGCGTTTTTTTGGGTTTTTTTGCAAATTATTTTTAATTTTTTAATTTTCTTTGGATAATAGGGGAAGTTAAATTCAAAGAAGTATGTATGAAATTTACAAAAAACTTAAATTGTAAAGCATAAAAATCATTTTGAAGACGAAAATGTTTTAGCTGTTCTTTTGAAGGAACACCTTCCCAATTCCCTCCTTGTCTATTCATTACTGGAACATTTTGTAAATTTTCAGATTTTATGAAAAAATCTTCTTTATTTTCTTTCAAATTATCAAGATTTATTTTTACACATTTTATTTTAACAATTTTATGTTGAAAAGTTTCTGGACAATTTCCATCAAAAACAGGAACAACCATTAACTAAAATTTATTTTTAATTAAATTATTGTCCTTTGAACTTGCTATCTACCAAATAATAATTTTAAATTCTTTCAATTACCTCTTTAATGTCAGAATTTACTCTCTCAAAGCCCTAGCTCTATTAAATAGTGAGAGTTGAAACAATAATTACCAAGATAATTATTTGAGCATATACAGTAACATATAAAAATTCGATCCCTAATCATAGCTTATTAAATTAATGCTCAGAAGTTCTGTCAAACTTATGCGGGATATATTTTCACAACATTTAAAAACTGAGATACCTATCGCTATACATATTATATATAATATGTATAGCGGTAGGTTGTGGGTCTTGACGGTGTATTGTATGACGGAACTCAGAGGACAATCAAATCACTCGCAGCTTCCAATTCGATTGTTTTCAACTTACAATAAAGTCAATATATTTTTTCAAATCACTATCTCCAAGAATCAAAGAAAGTCCTTTTGCAAGTTTGTAATGGCTTTGTATAAATGTGTTATACCCAGCAATGACCAAAATTCGATGGGTTTTCCTTTTTCTTTTTAATGAACGTAAATTGTATCCATGCTCGGCATGTTTTTCATTTAAATCTTTCTGATTTAATGAAGTTGAGGTTTCACCTTCCTTTTCTCCTGATCGAAGATCATATTTTCTTTTTTTAGCAGCATTTAAACTGTTTAATAATGAAAATAATAAAAGCAATAAAAATATTGCTAAATTAATTTTCATCTTAAATTGATAAATTATATTTGAAGGAGTTTCAAAAATTTTAGAATATTCTAGTTAAGAAAAAAACAGCTCGGGTCTAGTTTAGTAGTCAGATGAAAGTTTAATAGTCCGATGAATTTCGTTTGGACGCCTAAAATTTCATTGGACTCATAAACTTTCATTGGACTACTAAACTAGACCAGAGCCGAAATAACTACCTATATATTTTATTATTTCTTATAAATAATATTCTTATAAATAATACCATGAAAAATGAATGAATGAACCATGAAAAACTATGAACCATTTCCTAAAAATGTCAACTCGTTTTACAATTATACAATCCATTTCGGCATTTAACCGAATATTTGACATACATTTGAGGACCTAACTTGTGAGGATAATTTTCAATAAATTAAATATAAGATAAGTGATAAATGGATATACAAAAAGATTTTATTTTATAAAAACAAGTAAATAATTAAGGAATTTTGCCGGAAGATTATTAATGCCAATCCTTTTTTATAGAAGACGATTTTGATGTTATCTGCATTATAATCCTAGGCCATTTTCAGGTTCATCTTAAGCCTTATTTGAAATTAAAAATAGCTTCTTACATGAATTTAAGTAAAAGTTTGCCTAATATCCTAGTCGGGTAGCACTCTGATTTATGTGTCTATATGCTTTAAATTATTTTATAAAAAATTTTCTTAAAAATTAATAAAATGAATAGCTTTATTGAGAGGAGAGCAAATTGAGAGGAGGGCCCCAAATTGAGAGGAGGGGTAAATTGGGAGGAGGGCCACAAATTGAGAGGAGGGGTAAATTGAGAGGGGTGTAATTCCCTCCCTCTCCCCCCCCCCCCCATATAAATTAAATTCCATATGACTTCTCCCCATCTCCTCTCCTCTCCCTCTATTCCTTTGTTTAATTCTTAAACAAAGGTATTAAATGGTAGACAATTGAAGAGATTTGTACATTGACACATGATTGAAAATATTTAATTAACTTTTTTTATTAATTAATTAATTAAATTAATTTAAATAACCTTCAATTTCTTTGAGTTAATATATATATATAAAACAATCGAAAATTGAAAATAAATAATTTTTTTCAAAAACAAATCCCACAAGGTTTTGGCCAAATTTTATTTTATTGTTGTAGAGAATCATCTACACTAGTCTCATTCCAACCTTTTATAAATTATTTTAAATTTTTATGATAGGTTATTAATCTGAAATTTGCTCTAAACATAACAGATATGATTCGCCAGAAAAACTGTTTTTTTGTACCATTAGAAGTTAAAACCTCCAAAACCTTAACATCCAACATTAATATTTTTCTGAAAATTTAGTTTGTTGATAGCAAATTTCAAAAGATTTCAACCAGTCCTGGAATCGGTTCCGATATACATCCCTAACGATGGTGTAGGAAAGAGAAAAGTGAAGAATATGAGGATGTGAGAAGTATTGAAAAATAACTTTTGTGTTAAGCTAAGTTTTACGAACCCTGACATAAGAAACGGTCAGATACATAATTGTTTTTTATTCGGAAAATAAATTAATATAAACATATTTTTATCAAAAAAGTTGCACATAATTTTAAATAGAAGAATTCGAACCCTTGGCCTTCCAAATTTCACAAGAAAATGAAGATTTCTGGCTTAAGGATCTTCCAGACTTTAAAAAAATCTCGCCTGCGGCGGAACTAGAGAGGGATAAAAGTCCAATACTCAGCACTTCTTTCACATAAGTCTAATATAAAAATTTTTAAAAGCCATAAGATTTTACTTTTATTTTCTAAACTATAAATAATTATTAATTTGTAAAATAAAGCTTGTTTACTTTTTTGTACAATTTTAAAAATAAAAATAGTAATATGTAAATAATAACACCATTTTTAGTATTTTCGTACAAAATTTTGCGCAATTTTGGCAATAAAACTTTTTTACTTTTTAAAAGAATTTGAATGCTTTTCCTTAAAGAAATTAGCAAACAATTAGTAAAAGTGTATAATTTTATGTTTTTTTATTAATAATAATAAAATTTTATAACCTACTTTTTAAATCATATAAATACCAACTCAAAATTGTCAAAAATTACCACAAAATTATTTTAAATTGGCTAAAAATGAATAAAAATATTATTAAATTTAATTTATTTTTCATTTATTTGTTTTCTATTTTGTCAAGTATATGTGCATTTAAAGATGATCAAATAGTTGATTTACCAGGGCTTGACTTTAAGCCTGCTTTTGATCATTTTTCAGGTTTTTATCCTAGAATTTTTAAATTTTAGATTATAGTCGTATAGTCAAAACGAATCCTTTGGAGATTTCTAAGTTAAGCTGATTTTGTAAGGGAATAACTTGCTAGATATGATTAAAACGTATTAGAGAGAAATTATCTGACCGCTTCTTTAAACTATTCGAAGGATGTTGTTATTGCTATTAGGATTTATTCATGCATTTGATTAATCTTTTCATAGTTTTTTACATAAGAATGACTTCTTTCCTTCAAATTAAATTTAAAAATTTAAATTAGTCTACTTATTTTTAAATTTAAAAGGCTATTTACAAGTATCTCCACAGCATAAACTTTTTTATTGGTTTGTGGCATCTATGCGCAATAATACCGATGACCCACTCCTTTTCTGGTTAAATGGAGGGCCCGGATGTTCCTCAATTCTTGGACTTCTCTCTGAGCATGGTCCTTATTTAGCTTCAAATGATGGGAGAAGTTTAACGAAAAACCCTCACCCTTGGAATCGTATTGCGAATGTAGTTTATTTGGAAGGGCCTGCCGGAGTTGGGTTTTCTACTGCTGGTTCAGACCGTAAATGGAATGATGATACAGTTTAATAATTTTTTGAAGAATATTTACCTAAATTAAATTTAAAGGCTTCACAAGAAAATTATGAGGCAATTAAACAATTTTTGATAAAATTCCCTCAATATCGAAACAATGATCTTTACATAACTGGAGAATCTTATGCCGGTATTTATTGTCCAACACTTGCCGAACGAATAATTGATGGCCAAGAAGATTACAAATTAAATTTTAAAGTAAAAATAATTTATTTTTTGTTAAAATAAAATATTCTTTAAATTACTTGGCCAAAATATGTTTTTAGAAATTATTTAGTAATTAAATAGAAATTTTCCAAAAATCATATCCTCATTGGAAATATTTTAAATAATGATTTAAGACCACACAATGAAAAAAATAAAAAAATATTTTCTTAATTTAAATCAGGGAATGGCTATAGGCAATGGATATATCAATATCAGTTTGGAGGAAGATACTCGCATACGTTTTAATTATGCACATGGGATGCTTGATGAACGCGAATGGCAACAAGTCGCATTAGAAGATTGTAGAGGGAATACAGGTATATTTTGAATTTAAATTATTTTTTAAATCAAAAAACAATTTTAAGATACTTGTGATCTCTCTAATGTTGTATGTTAATATAATTTTATTTTTAATGAAAATATTTTGGTATATTTAAGGATTTACCTTCAGGCTTTGGATTTGGTCTAAATCCTTATGATATTTACCAAAAATGCGGTCAAAAAAATTTTTTTTAATTATTAAACTTTTAATTTAAGAGTTGAGTGATGATGCTTCTGAAATGCGTCAATTAGAATTATTTATTGCTAATCGAAGAGCAGCTAAATTCCCCCCTCGTTCTCCAGAAGAGGCTGGGGAAGAATTACAGTTATCTGAACTTGTTTGTGAAAATGGTATAATTTATAAATAAATTAAAATAGTACATATAATAATTTTTAATTAGAATATGACATGACTAGTTATTTAAATCAACCTAAAGGTATTTTTAAATAAATATTTTTAAAGAAAAAATATTTCAAGTCCGTGAGGCATTACATGTAGAAAGTGAAAATCGTTGGCATGTTTGTGGGTAAGTTGAAGTTCATTTGATGCCATTTGCGGACACTCATTAACATGGATTCTTGGGGTTGATAGATTTTTAACTAAAATTAAGTAGTATATTAATGGGGATTAGTCAGGGCGAACAGAATAGTCACTTAGTCAGACCCCCTGTAAGTGGATAACCAAAATTTAAAAATGAAGGTGTATTTATTCTGATTGAGGACTTCAATATAAAGTAGATGTATTCAATTATCATTGCACCCGTAGTTACCGTATTTACTCACATAATTCCCCTCACTCAAATAATAATTCCCCTCACCCTACTACACGTTCAAATTTCAAAACTCGAATAATTCCCCTTCCTTAAATAATTTCCCATGCCACGAATGTGTTGAAAAAATGATTCAACAAGGGAGATAATAGAGTAAATACGGTATTTATTACAACTTTTCAAGTTTATCCGCAAATGTCAATGGGCAAATTTAAATGTGTATTTTATTTAATATTTTTAGTGGTGTTGACTCTTATAAAAACATATACCGTTAGTTTAAAAAATATTTTTCTAAATATAAATTTTCAAAATATTTAAAGATGGAGTTGAATTTCATATAAAAAAAGCTTTAAAATCGAATGTTAAAGTGTTGCTCTTTTATGGGGACACAGATATGCGTTGTAATTTAATTTTGGGTTCAAAATTTGCTTCAAATTTGGGATATAAAGTTTAAAATTAATTTTTTAAATATCCAAAAATTTATTTAAAGTTGCTTAAACCAGCTAAGCCTTGGGTTTTTCGTAGTCAAGTTGGCGGTTTTAGAACAATTTATGAAGGAGGGTTGTCTTTTGTAACAAGTATTTTTATTTGAAAAATTTTAAAAAATAATTATTTTTAAAGTTCGTGGTGCTGGACATATGGCGAGAATTATTTTTTAAATATTTTTTAAAAATACTTAATAATTTTTTATTTGAAGGTTCCACAAAAGAAAGGAGCAGAAATGCAATACTTAATTGAATCGTTTATTCAAAATAAAGAAATATAGAAAATAATTGATGAAAAAGTTAAATAGGAATGATAATAATAAAAATAATTAATTTTAATAATAATTTAATTTTTAATTATTTTCTCTTAAATAAATATTTTTTTTAAATTTCTTGTCTAGGATTTGAAATAAGTTTAATAAATATTATTTATATTTTTTGCCCAGAAAATTTAACGAAAGGTAAGGAAAAAAAGCTTTTTGTAGCTTTTTAAGTGTATTCACATCAGGAATATCATGGGTTGAGTTAAAAGAAGGGCAGGGTTTCAGGTCGAAAAAAGTCCGGGTTTTGGGTACCATGTGACACAGTGTATTCACATAGAAACTCCGTTTTTTTCATGAAAAATATCGCTAGCGTCTTATCTCCAAGTATCTTCATATATTTATGACTCTTCAATTTTAATTTATTAAATTTTTTTTTATTAGATTTTATTTAATTTGAGCGTTTTGTCGGCAAAAATATTTATTAAAAATTAAAATTTTTAAAAGGGCAAATGCTATAGCATGACAAAGGGCCAAGAGAATGACAGTCATGAGGATTTATTTTACGTGTAAGATGGGTAGTCGATAGAGCTAGGGCATGACAAGGGTATTTTTAAGCCCAAGGGTTTTAAAATTTGTCAAAGCAGGAAAATTAAAATTCCAGGCCTAAAATTAAAATTTCCGCCCAACATATACATATTACATATAAAAATAAAAAGACTTTCCAAATATTTATGCACTTTACATCCTTTTAAAATAACTTTAAAAATTTTAAAATAAATAATAAATATAAATATTTTTTGAAATAAATAAAATTAGTGTTGTTGGCGACTGATTTTACTCAGAAAATTTTTATATTTTTGCCAAAATTGAAATTTTAAATATCAAAAACCGAAAATTCTTGGAAGTGAACGATTTATAAATATTTCCCTAAAATAAAACCGGTATTTAATTAAAACACAGAATCGTAACCGGATTTTGTTAATTTGGATTAACCGAAAATCGAGAGTACCGGTTAATAAATATCACATACAACACTAGTTAGATTGCAGTAATCTCAACAATATGAGAGAAATTTGTATAAATTTTCGTTTAATAATTTGTAAATATGTAATTATAAAAACATCTGATACCATAAATGAAAAACTGATTTGTTCAAAATTTTAAGAAATTGGGAATACCGTAATTTTTCAGTTACCATCCCAAGGATGGGTTGAAATATTGATTTGCCAAAGAATTAATCGAGAAAATACAGTACTTAGTGTGTAAAGTTACCATCCAATAATTGAGGAAATCCCGCTTCTTGGCGTTCAAATATGTATTTGGAAAATTTTCGCCTGCGGCGTTGAAAGTAAAGATTTTTGGCCTAAGATTCTTCCAAAAAACCTCAAACTTTTCGCCTGCGGCCTATCCTTGGTTGGGAATTAATCTAAAAATACGATATGTCGAAAGAATCACAAGGACATATAAATTCTTAACAAATAAATGAGGGAATACTTACCGTATTTACTCGATTAATTCCCCCAAGGAATTATTTTTTCAACCCATTCCTGGCATGGGGAATTAAAAGAGGGTGTGGAATTATACGAGTTTTGAAATTTGAACGCGTATTAGGGCATTTGGGGGTGGGGAATTATTTTTTCAACTCATCCCTGGCATGGGGAATTATTCGAGGGTGGGGAATTAATCTAGTAAATACGGTAATTGAGGTGATATAATCGGAGGGCACATTTAACCCTGACATCTGCGGTCCATTGGAATTAAAATGCATAAAGCTTGGTTTTGGTATTTTATCAAAGTTTTGTCTGTGCCAGAGGATTATAATTGTCATTGCCTTTGTAAAATACAATCGAAATCTACAACTTAAATAATGTACCGCAAATGTCAGAGCCTTTAAAAATAATTCTTAATTTACAAATCTTTCAATCATTTGCTTTTTTCACTAAAGATCAAATCCTTGTTTTTTGTCATAGTAGTCTTAGTTCTTTGCCTTTTTCTCCTTCTTTTCGGGAGATTTTATAAATAATGTTTTCATCCTTTGAAGCACTTTTTGTATTTTCGTCGGATTTTCTTTTTCCCATTTCTTTTTTATTTCTTTCAAAAAATCCTTAATTTCACTCTCTACATCGTCTTCATTTTTGCTATATTTCTTATTTACATACTTAATTCCAACATCTTTTAAAAATATTTTAATTTCATTACAAATATATCGTACAAATTCATTTTTTCTTTCAGAATTTTTCATTTTTTCCTCACAAATTTCCTTTCCTTTCAATATAGTCGAGAATTTATGTTCTTCAAAGAAATTAATTTCTTCATAAACCTCCTTAATTTTATTAAAAATATTTTTTAATATAATGATTAGCGCCAGGATTTTTATGCAAATGCATATTTTTTTAGCAAACTTGGCATGATGTAAAAACACAAAAAATACAAAATTTTTAAAGAAGATTTTTGATTTTATTGGGTTCCCCCGAAAACCTCCTTAGTTGAACAACATCCCCTTTGTTGAGACAACCCTTCCTTTTATTGGATTAACTTTCCCCAGTGTGTTAACAAATAAATTTAATTATTAAATTAATAAAATTAATTAAATTAAAAAAATATATATTTAATAAAATTGATTAGATTTTGAAAGGTTAAACAATTTTTGACGACCTCATTTATCCTCGGACCTAGGCCCAAATTTGCCCCTCGACCTCGATCGCGGCTTTTCTAGCCTCGGTGATCCTCGGTCTCGGTTTTTTCAAAAAACCTCGATCGCGGCTTTTCCAGCCTCTGTGGTTATCGGTCTTGGTTTTTCAAAAAACCTCGACCACTCTAATTTAAACACAGAGGTAATTAACAAACTTAGTAAAAAGGTAATAAATAAAATTGATTAGATTTTGAAAGGTTAAACAATATGTATCTACATACTACTATCTTATATTAGATATTTGCTTTAATTTCTATATTTACCTTATATTTCAAATCAACACCTTTTAACTTTTTATCTTTTTTCTTTTCAAGTAAATTATTAAAACTTTGACGTAGACGATCAAATCTTTCAGAATATTTGAAAAAATAAGCAATTGAAGGATATGAATAATTAAAAAGTAATAATTCATATTTATTTTTTAAAACTTCCTTTGCCTTTTCATCAATTTTTTGTGAAAACTCTTCACAAATTGGTTCAAATATTTCCCCAAATTTAGGAATTAATTTAATTAATTCTTCCCTTTCTTTTTTTATTCCATTTTCCCATTCAACAATTATTTCTTCAATTCCTCCTTTATTTTCTTTTTTAATTTTACTAATTTCTTCTTCATCGTCCTCACTTTCCTCTTTAATTGTGTATAAATTATATCTTGTCTCAATACCAAATTCCGTTAATTTCTCATCAAATATTTTATACAACTCTTTAAAATAGCTAACTAATTTTTCATTATTCTCAAAAATTTCTTCTACTTTCATCATTTCGAATGAAATCTCGTCCAAAATTTCAAAAAAGTTATTTTCCTTCAAAGATTTGAAATGTTTATCTAATTTCTAAAAAAATATTTACATATTAGAAATAATTTTTGCAAAAAAATAATTTTTAAACCGTTAACTATTTAGTAGAGATCGTCATATTTTTTTAGTAGAGATCGGCATATTTAGTAGAGATCAGCACCGTACCGTATTCTGTACCGTATTACCGATACGGAATACCGATAAATACCGAAAGATACGGCCGTAGTACGGTACGGTCCGATCTCTACTATTTAGTAGGTTAATAAAAAACCTGAAATTTATATTCTGCTAAACAATCATGTTTCTTTTTAGTTTCTATAATTTTTAAAACTTCATCAAAAATTTCAAATTTCTCAGCATTATTTATATATTTAATAATATTTGGGTTCTCTTTTTTACATTGAGAGAAATCATCAATTAATGAATTTTGTTTTAATAAAATCAAATAAAATTTTTTGAAAATTCTTATAAAATCACCGCCTTTTTGAATGCCATTTGCTATTTTTAAGGCTTCAAAATATTCTAAATTAAAAGCAAAATTATTATTTTTATTTTTAAAATTTATTTATAAAAATATGCAATTTTTCTAGTTTGGATACCTCTGTATTTTAATCTGGATTTCTAATAACGATTAAAATTAGAGATTTTTTCAAGTATTTTCGAGTTTCTAAATTCTTAAAAATACGTACTACCCGCATAGGACGTTTTTCTCAACAAATCGACGGTATACTCAAAATTTTGAGCCGGACTATTTAAAATTCACCATTTTTGCCTATTTTCATTTCCTTGGGAAGAAAAAACTTTATCTGTTTATTCTCTTGTTCAGGTATAACATGATCAGGGTCATTGAATGTTTCAATCTCCTTTCCTTTATCCTTTTCTCGAATTAATTCCTTAGTTTTATTTTTACTCGTTTCCTCCTCTTCTTCTATTTCACCAACCGAATCCACCAGATTCACAATTAATAAAAATAATAAACATAAAAATATTGAGTAATTCCAAACTTTCCAATATTTCATTCGGTAGTTCGTCAATTTGACTGTGAGTATAAAACAAATTTTATTACTTTAGTGAATTTCGCAGATTCAGCCTGCCCGAGGACATTTACCCAAACTTAAAAGTATACATCTAGAGATCGGACCAAACAAATATTTGACGTCGGAAAATCAAATATTTGATCAAATTTTATTTGATTTTATTTGATCAAATATTTGTTTGATGAATTTTTGGAAAAATTTGATTTTTTCAAATATTTTCAAATATCAAATAATTTGATTTGATATTTGATTTTGCGGTTTGTCCGACCTCTATATACATCTATCCAACTTTAAAAGTTCCAATTTCAGGTTTTTTGGCCAATGAGAAACTGCGTAAGCGATGCCCCCATATATAATCGACATAAACTCAAGGATATACTCGATTTTACATAATTTTTAATTAGCTTTCAGACAAATGGCAAATGAGTAAATATGTAGTAGTGGTCAAAATTTAAAATTAAATTTAAATTAAAAAATATTTTATATTAAATTAAAAGCAATAATTTTAAATTTTCTTAGAGAGTAATTAAATATGGGAAGTCACTTAATTCAGGGTATAATGCTTGGCCATAACACCTCCCCATGGTTGACGCCCGCCATGGGTATATAGGTTTGGCATATAGGTAAAGTAAAAGGCATATAGGTGAAGCAAGACGTGGAAGAATGAGGGGAGGCAGGGAGCATGCGATTGATTTATGACAGATGTTGAAGACGCTAATTTGAGTGTTTCTCAAGAATCGAACATCGGCACATGGAAATATACATACCTATAAACTTATATATATATATATATATATGTATGAAGGTATGTATGAAGGCTTATATATGTATGAGTATATGTATGTAGGCCCTATTTCAATAAATAAGTTAATAAAGACTTCAGTTGCTTCAAATTCCTCGTTACTTTGACATTTATTACCCAGTGTCGTGCGAAAATTTTTTAAATTTAAGATTTTAAATTTAAGAAGCATGAAAAAAAATTCTTGGATTTAAAGAAGACTAAGAAACAAGATTTCTTTTGTAGAAATCTGGCCATAAACTTAATTACAAACTACAATTTTAATCTCTCTCCACTTATTAAAATTTTTTAAAGCATACATGCATTTACATGTGATATTGAATTTTAAATCAATCACTTGTGATAGTCAATTTTAAATAAATAAAATAATTTTTTTATCGATTATTTCTAAATAAATAAATATTTTATTTTAAATACCGTATTTCCTAAAATAGTACTCCCCCCTGAATTAGTACTCCCCCCTTAAATAATACTCCCCTTTGGAGGAGGGTTGAAAAATAGTACTCCCCCCTGAATTAGTACTCCCCCTAAAATAATACTCCCCCCTAAAATAGTACTCCCCTATATTTTTAAAAATTGTAAAAGAGAATAAAATTTATTCTTTGAATTATTTATTCTATTTGTTTGTTGTTACTTTATTTTTGTACCGTTTTATTTATTTTTTATTCCCATTTTGTTTATTTTAGTTTTGTTTATTTTAATAGTATTAAAATGGCTGAAAAGAATATTTTAATGTGTTGTTCTTGCAATAAACCCACTTCTGGTGGACACAGTTGTAAGATCTGCGAAAAACCTTGTCACGCTATAGAATTATGCTCAGTTTCTTGTGGTGAAGAAGGTTACGGAGCAAATGTTATATGTTCAGACTGTTTCATCAATGTTGATGACATTGAAGATAGTGTCTCTCTCTCTATATAAGTGTCTCTCTCTCCCCTCATTAAAATTTTTTAAAGTAAGCATACATTTACATGTAATATTGAATTTTAAATCAATCACCTGCTGTAAATAATAAATTTTTTATTGATTCTAATAAATACAGTAGTCGACAAAAAGATAGGGACAAACACAAGTGTAATGGAAATCACCTATTTTCTCGGTTAAAAATCAATTTTAGGAAAACTTTTTTATTTGATTAAATACTCCATTTAATTCTCTATTTAATAAGTAGAAAATTTGCCTGGTTAAAATTTTATAAAATCCAAACATTATTAAAAAACAAAAGATATGCTATTTTAAGCGCGACAAAAAGATAGGGACAAGTCTTGTAACAAAGTTTTCATAAAAGCAAAAAATCTACAAAAATTTGTGGAAGGAAAATTTGTGTTTTTTTCTCAAAAATGAAATTTGGCTAGTTTATAGCAAATTTCAAGGGCTATCGAATGGGGTTAAAATAAAAATTTTAGAAAATCCATAAGGGGTCGAAAATATTTTTTGAAGTTGAAAACCCCTGTTTTACGTTGATTTTCGGGGTATTGAGATCTCGACCATAAAACGAGATATGGGCCTAGTTCTTTTTTATTTTATCTTAGTATCGATCAGTATGTTCGCACGAATTTTTATAAATTTTTTGGTTGAGTGAATAATTAGTTACAAGACTTGTCCCTATCTTTTTGTCGGGCTGAAATTTGCATAACTTTTTTAGTTAAATTATTTCAGTATTTCAAAAAATAATAATCCGGTAGATCTTATACTCATTAAATAGAGCATTAAATGGAGTATTTAATTAAACAAAAAATTTTTCCTGAAATCGATTTTTAGTTGAGATAATAGGCGATTTTCGTTTCACATGCGTTTGTCCCTATCTTTTTGTCGACTACTGTAAATATTTTATTTTAAATAATTTAAAATTAAATTATTTAAAATTGACTAAAACTTTGGATAAAAACATATAAACCCATTCAAGAAAAAATACCTAATTGGAACCTAATTGGAAAGTCTTAAAAAACTCAAACTTGCATCAATTTTCATCAAATTTTCAAGCAAAATTTCTAAATTAATTTAATAAAAAATAATCAATTAAAAAATAAATATATGTAGTTTATAATTAATATTTTAATAATTTTTAATAAAAAGAAAAATAATTTTTATTTTTAGTATTTATTTGTACAGTTAGTATATTTTAATATTTTCTTTGTGTCTAATAAAAACTGTTTACTATTTTTGGATTTTTGGTGAAAAATTTTTTGAGTAAAGTAAAACAATCGAGTAAAGTTGACAAATAAATGACTGGCAAATAATTAAGCAATTTAAGACTTTCCAATTAGGTTCCAATTAGGTATTTTTTCTTGAAAGGGTTTCTAATTAAGTAATTAAGCAAATAATTAACAAAATATCGGATCATTTGTTAAGCTCATTTAATTATGAATTTGTTCCAATTCATTTATCTTATTCTTGAAAATACTGCAAGTTTCGGGCCGCAAATGTCAAGCATTTTAAACTTAATTTTTAGTTTACGCATCTTTCAATCAGTTCATCAATGTTTCCATTCTTTGCAATTTTCTCTTACTCTTTCTCTTACTTTCTACCAAATATCTTTGAATATCCGTTTTTAATCCATTTTTTTACTTTTTCTTTTCTAGTTGGATTTTCTTTCTTCCATTTATTTTCTAAATCTTTAAAATAATTTTCAATTTCTTTGTGAATAACATTTTTTTCGTCTTTACTACTTTTATTTTCTTCTTCAAATTTTATTCCAATACTTTTTAAAAAATTTTCAATTTTATCACAAACAGATTTTTTAAATTCATTGTTGTCTACATCATTGTCCAATATTTCCTCACAAATTTCTTTTCCTTTCAACAATTTTGAGAATTTATAATTTTCGAAAAAATTAACTTTTTCATATGCCTCCTATAAAATTTTAATTTAATTAAGAATAGTAATTATACTTCCAATATTTTCTATAAGGGAACTGTTAAGGATTTTTTTATATACGTGTTTGTAGTAGGTAGTTATCATGGACGAGCCCTCCCCTATGCATTAAAAACGGAAGTTGAAGAATCTGTTTTCCGAAAGAAATCCGTCTTCCTCACATCAGAGCGTGCCATCTGTTTAAGTCTATTAGGAGATACACTAACATTAACTCACCGACTGGTGATCTACAGTGGCGGAAATTTAGTTAAGAAAAAATATTATTTGTAATATGTATTTCTGAAAATTATTTTTTCAAAACATTAATTTGGAATTTTTAATTTTATATAATTTTTTAGCACTGTACATATCATTATTTTATATTATGGAAAATTTATAAATTTACCCCGTATTTTACACGAAAACGTTTCAACTTCTTCTGGCCTTTATTTTTTTCAATTAAATCTTTAAAACAATCAAATATTTCGGCATTTTTGAAAAAATTTTCAATTTTCGGATATTCTTCTTTTATAATTCCAAATTTATTTTTTAAAACCTCTTTTGCCTCCTCATTAATTTTTGAGGAAAACTCAAAAAATGGTTCAAATATTTCCTCAAATTTAGGATTTAATTCAATTAATTTTTCTTTTTCATTCTTTATTTCATTTTCCCAATCAACGAATAAATGTTTAATATCCTCTACTATTTTTACAATTTCCTCCTCAATTTCTCCTTCATTTACTTCTTCAATTTCTTCTTCACTTTCTCCCTCAATTTCCTCCATAATTGTAGGTAATTTATTTTTTTCTTCCATATTTAACTCAATTTTTAAATTTTCGTACAATTTTTCAAAATATTTTTCTATTTTTTCATTCCTAAAAATTACTTTTATTTCTTTCATTTCGTCTGAAATCTCCTTCAAAATTTCAAAAAATTTATTGAAATGCTCATTTAATTCCTAAAAATATAGAGTTTATCATATTTAAGTATTAAAAATAAATAATTTCTTAACAAAATTTTAATATCAAATCCTCTATTAAATTTTGAATTTAATTTAATAAAATTTAAAGAAAACCTCAAATTTATATACTACAAACCACTCATTTTTCTCCTTATTTTCTATCATTTTTTCTTTTAAAACTTTATCAAAAATTTCAAATTTTTTGGCACTTTTTATATATTTAATAATATCTTGATTCAATTTTGAATATTGAAGAAAATCATTAATCAATGAATCTTTTTGAATTAAAATCAAATAAAATTTTGTGAAAATTCTTATAAAATCAGTGCTTTTTTTAGTATCACTTGCTACATTTAAAACTTCAATATATTCTGAATTAAACAAAAATTATTATTTTTTATTTTTAAAATTTATTTATGGGAATATGTAAGCAATTTTTCTCGATTTGATAACTCTGTATTTTAATCTGGATTTCTAGTAACGGTTAAAATTAGAGATTTTTTCGAGTATTTTCGAGTTTCTAAATTTCTTTAAAATACATGCTACCCCTCATAGAACATTTTTCTCGACAAATCGACTTTAAGAAAAAGTAAAGTATTTATTGGAAACAAAATTATCATTTCGAAACCAAATTTTATTTAATACAATGCTTCTAAAAGTTCACGGTACTCGGAATTTTATGCGAGTATTTTCGAGTGTCGATTTACTCAAAATTTTGAGCCGGACTATTTAAAATTCATCATTTTTACCGTTTTTCATTGTTTTGGGAAGCGAAAACGTTATCTGTTTATTCTTTTGTTCATGTATGACAGAGTCAGGGTCATTGAATGTTTCAATTTTCTCCTTTCCTTTATCCTTTTCTCGAATTACTTCATTATCTTTATTTTTACTCGTTGCTTCCTCTTCTTCTATTTCACCAACCGAATTCACCAAATTCACAATTAACAAAAATAATAAACATAAAAATATTGAGTAATTCCAAACCTTCCAATATTTCATTCGGTAGTTCGTCAATTTGACTGTGAGTATAAAACCAATTTTATTCTTTAGTGAATTTCGCAGATTCAACCCCTGGGACATCTACCCAAACTTAAAAGTCTCAATTTAAGGTTTTTGGCCAATGAGGATCTGTGTAAGCGATGCCCCCCCCCCTCCGATATATAATCGACATAAACTCAAATATATACTCGATTTTACTTAGTTTTTTAATTAGCTTTCAGACAAATGGCAAATGAGTAAATAGTAGTGGACAAAATTTAAAATTAAATTTTAAATTAAATTAAAAAATATTTTATATTAAATTAAAAACAATAATTTTAAATTTAATTAGAGAGTAATTAAATATGGGAAGGCACTTAATTCAGGCTATAATGCTTGCCATAACTCCCCCCCCCCCCATGGTTGACGCTCGCGCTCTCAGACTCTCAACTGACAATAAATTTTGCTGTTAAAAGGCATATAGGTGAAGCATATAGGTGAAGGCAGGGAGCATGCGATTAATTTTTAAAAGATGTTGAAGACGCTAATGTGAGTGTTTTTCAGGAATCGAACATCGGCATATGGAAATATATAAACATTTATGTATGAAGGTCTGCATTCTATAAATAAGTTAACACAGACTTCAGTTGCTTCAAATTCCTCGTTACTTTGAAATTCAATTGGCTAAAAGTGTCGTGCGAATTTTTTTAAAATTTAAGATTTTAAATTAAGAAGCATGAAAAAAAATCTTGGATTTAAAGAAGACTAAGAAACAAGATTTCTTTTGTCGAAATCTAGCCAAAAACTTAAATACAAACTACAATTTTAATCTCTCTCTCCTCTTTTTAAAAAATTTTTTAAAGCAGACATACATTTACATACATGTAATATTGAATTTAAATCAATCACCTGCTGTAAATAATAAATTTTTTTATTGATTCTTTCTAAATAAATATTTTATTTTAAATAATTTAAAATTAAATTATTTAAAATTGACTAAAACTTTGGATAGAAACCAGGGTGTCCCTTTCCAAAACACCAAAATAGGGCGAAGCTACTCAAAAATATGGCAAAAATAGGGCGAAATTGGTCAAAAATAGGGCAAAAAATAGGGCATTGTTTTAAACACTTAAGAATACTTAAAATTTTAAAAAGAAAGCCTATTATGCATATTTTTCAATATTTTAAACTAAATTTTCAATTAAAAATTTCTTTATCATTAAATATCAACTTGTGACTAATCTATTTTATTGGGGATATCCTCTTTAATCCCAGAATACCGTTAATTGAATTACCCTTAAGAAAGCAAATATCACAGATAATTCAAACATGATATCCCCTAAAACGTACCATCGATTCACGACCAAATCCCCAAATCCCCGTACCATAATCGAAGAATTCTTCCAATTTTCAGCGCCGCAGGCGAAAATTTTTTGAAATTTGGAGCTCAAGAAGCCAAATTTCATACATTTTTTGCGCCGCAGGCGAAAATTTTGAGAATTTTGGAGGCCAGGAAGTCAGAAATCCTTCATTTTTACCATTTTTTTTTACAAAATCCGAAGAATTTTTAAAATTTTACTAGATGATAAAAATAGGGCAAAAATATGGCAAATGAGAAAATAGGGAAAAAATAGGGCGAAATTGTCAAAGATAGGGCAAATGCCCTGTAAATAAGGCAAAAGGGACACCCTGATAGAAACATATAAACTCATTCAAGAAAAAATACCTACCTAATTGGAAAGTCTTAAAAAACTCAAATTTGCATCAATTTTTATCAAATTTTCAAACAAAATTTTTAAATTAATTTAATAGAAAATAATCATTTAAAAAATAAATATACATAAGTTTATAATTAATATTTTAATAATTTTTAATAAAAAGGAAAATAATTTTTATTTTCAGTATTTATTTGTACAGTTATGTACATATGTAGTAGAGATGTGCGAGACCGAAATTTTTCCAAGACTCAAGACTCAAGACCCAAGACAAAATTTTTTCCAAGACCAAGACTCAAGACCAAAACCAAAACTCCAAGACTCAAGACCAAAACTCGAGACAATTTTTAGGTCCCATAGGTCAAATTTTTGGTTTATTTTTGTTATTTTGACACGATCACAGTCAACTTCAGCACAATTATTTATAATTTCGAAAAATTTATGCGAAATTCAAAGAATTTCGGAGAATTTTCCATCAAAAACAAATTCATTTTAAATTTATAAACTTTGAATCAGAAGGATAGAAAAAAATGATTGTCCAGGTTTAATGATTAATATTTGTCAAAGGAGGCAAACTTAAAATTCCAGGCCTAGGAATTTTAAGATTGCCGATGTTCGCTCCATTGCCGATGTCTAGACAACAGTGAAGTGTGTATCTTGGGATTGCCTGGTCTAAAAGAAGTGTCAGGGCTGTATCAAAGGCCAAAGTACCAAAAGTGGAGTAAAAAGAAGGCACCTTTCAAGATACAGAAGAATGCGTTCCCGAACGGGACAAAAGTGAAAGTGAAGAATACCAATAAAAGAAGTGGTAAAATCGAGTGGCTCAATGGTGAAATATTGAGAAAGACGGAAAATGCCTGGAAAATCAAAGTGTCAGTGTTGAAGAGTATAGTGACCAGGACATTTAAAGAGATCCGTCGAGATGAGTGGAACAATAAAAAGAAATTGTTGAATGAAGATATTCGGAATATGAATATTAGTGAAGAAAAAGTGTTGATGAAAGTAGTGTAACTTCATCGAGTGATAGCAGTGTGGACAACGCAAAGAGGATCAATTCAAAAATGAAGGACAAAAGTGGGAACAAGCCAAAGATGAAAGATGTTGAGGACGAGAATAATATGGAGACGTAGATGTGTAAAATAAAAAATTTTTGTGATAATATTGTTGTTGTATTTTTTTGTAATGTTGTATGTATTTTTTGTTCCCATTGTCCTTATTCCCCCAAAATTGTGTATGTATTTTTTGTTTTGTTAGGCTGTAAAGTGTAAGTATATTGTAAAGCTTCGGCTTTAAGTGAAGCCGAACCTTTTTTTTTCAAGGGGGGAGGTGTTGTGTATGGGCGTCAGCGCTTAAAGTGTTAGTATAAAAGCCCAGCCAATAGTTAGTTCTTGCTCCCAGTTTTAGTTCTTCTGCCTACCTTCATCCGCTTTGTATTTCTTTGTGCAATAAACGTTTCTGTTAGCTTCTCTACGTAAGCGGGGTCGTAACTTTTAGTTTTAGTTTTTTAGTTTTAGTTTTTTTAGTTTTTTTTCTCAGTTTTAGTTCTTCCTACAACCTTCGCCTGCTTTGTATTTCTTTGTGCAATAAACGTTTCTGTTAGCTTCTCTACGTAAGCGGGGTCGTAACAGATTTAATACAAGAAAAATAAAAAGACTTTCCAAATATTTATGCATTCAACATCCTTTTACTAAAATAACTTGTAAAATTTTTAAAATAAATAAATATAAATAATTTTTGAAATAAATAAAATTAGTGTTGTTGGCGACTTTTTTTAAAGCAGAAAATTCATATATTTTTGCTAAAAACTAATTGTTTTTATGGAATTTTAAATACCAAACACGAAAATTCTTTGAAATGAACGATTTAAAAAAAATTTCCTTAAAATAGAACCGATGTTTAATCAAAACTAAGAATCGTAACCGGATTTTGTTAATTTGGATTAAACGGTTAATAAATTTTAACCGATTAATAAATTTCGCATACAACACTAGTTAAATTGCAGTAATCTCAACATTATGAGAGAATTCTGTATAAATTTTCGTTTAATAATTTAAAAAAATAAATATGTAATTATAAAAACATTTGATACCATAAATGAAAAGTGAATAAATTAATAAATGAAAAAATGATTTGTTCAAAATTTTAAAAAATTGGGAATACCGTATTTTTTCAGTTACCAACCCAAGGATGGGTTGAATCTAGTATTAATTTGCCAGGGTATTAATCTAGAAAATACATTACTAGTGGGTAAAGTTGCTATTTTTTAGTGTCGAGACAAATTTTGGTAAAATTTGGAAAAAAAATCTTGGATAGGTTTTTACTTGATTAGGACGAGACAATGAGAACTGTCATCGTGCTGTCAGTCGATCTTTGTTATTCTTTATCTTGGTCAAAACCCGAAATCGTGAGTCTGGCTCAAAATGCCTGCAGCATTGAGAAAAAAAAGATTTTTGGCTTAAGGATCTTCCAAAAAATCTCGAAATTTTCGCCTGCGGCCTATCCTTGGTTGGGGAATTAATCTAAAAATACGATATGTAGAAAGAATCACGAGGACATATAAATTCTTAACAAATAAATGAGGGGATACTTAATTGAGGTAATATAATGGGAGGGCACATTTAAACCTGACATTCGCGGTCCACGGCTGAAATAATAATTCAAATAAAAATTAAAGCATGTTTTTGGTATTTTATGAAAGTTTTGTAATATGACAGAGCGATTGTAATTTGTAAAATACAATCAAAATCTACAACTTAAATAATGTACCGCAAATGTCAGACATTTTAAAAATAATTCTTAATTTACAAATCTTTTAATCATTTGCTTTTTTCACTAAAAATCATATCCTTGTCTTTCGTCATAATAATAAGTCTCAGTTCTTTGCCTTGTTCTCCTTCTTTTTCGAAGATTTTTTCAAGAATGTTTTCACTCGTTTCACAAATTTCTGTAATTTTGTTGGATTCTCATTTTTCCATTTCTTTTTTAATTCTTTGAAAAAATGTTTAATTTCATTCTTAATATATTCTTCTTTGTTGATATTATTCTTAACTTTGGACTCTATACCAATATTTTTAAAAAAAATTTCAATTTCATTACAAATAAATCGTACAAATTCATTTTCTCCTTCAGAATTTTCCATTTTTTCCTTACAAATTTCTTTTCCTTTCAATATTGTTTGGAAATTATGTTCTCCGAAAAATTTAATTTGTTCATAAACCTCCTAAATTTAATTAAAAATATTTTTTAATATAATAATCATTTTCAAAAAAAATCCTTTAGTTACTGATTCCTTTATAGGTTATTCGAATATCTCTTACAAAATTTGAAGGGAATTTTCTTACAGTTTTCTAAAACAGGAATACAACCGCTCAGTTATTCAATCAGAAACTGATCGTTTTCATTTTTGCTTTTATCTGCTAGGCTGGCAGCAAACTTCGCGGTAATTCCAAGGCTGGTCCCCCCCCCCTTTTTTTCTGTTCGCCTGACCATTTTGAGCTTTTTTGCTTGACATATAATTTACAATATATCATTCGAAAGAGCTGTTCGAGCTGAGTAGAATGATACCATGATCGGTTCGATTTGGAGATTCTGAGCAGAATTATGAAGCTAAATCCTCGATGGACATGCTTTTTGTGGTTGTTGAATGGGATTAGAACAAATGGTCATAACTATGTTTATTTAAGTCGGATTTTGATGAATTTAGTACCTTTCGACTCAGCTTGAAGAGCTCTTTCGAACGATATATAATTTGCCATAAAAAGTTTGAAAAATCAAAAAAATAGAAAGGAAAAAAAAGGGAGGACCAACCTTGGAATTACCAACTTCGCTGCTATTTCATATTATTTTTAAATATTTTTACCTTATATTTTACTTCAACCCCTTTCAATTTCTTCCCATTTCTTTCCTTTTTAATTAAAAAATTAAAACTCTGAAGTAAACGATCAAATCTTTTATCAGTTTTGAAAAAGAATTCAATATCCGGATATTCTTCGTCCATTTCTTCAAATTTATTTTTTAAAGCTTCTTTCGCTCCTTCTTCACCAATTTTTGATAGAAACTTATCAAAAATTGGTTTAAAAATTTCTTTAAATTCGGGCAAAGATTCAATTTGTTCTTTTTCTTCTTTAGATTCCATTATTTTATCTTCCCATTCAATAAATATTTCATTTAATATTCCTTCATTTTCCACCACAATTTCTTCTTCATCTTTTTTTTCTTCCTCAATTTCTCCCTTAATTTCTTCATAAACCATAGGCTTTTTATTTTTTTCATTTTCGTTTTTTAAAAACATATTCTTAATACCAAAATTTCCCAATTCATTCCTCAATAGTTCATACAGCTTTTCGAAATAGTTAACTAGTGTTTCATTATTCTCAAAAATTTGTTCCATTTTGTCTTTTTCATTTTCAAGTTCATCCAAAATTTCAAAAAATTTATTTTCCTTCAATGATTTGAAATATCTAATTTGCATTTTCTAAAAATATACATAATTTAGAGATCTTAAAATTTTACAAAATTTTTTCCTTAGCCTATTAGTTTGAGAGTGACTTACAATTTTCAGCACCACAGGCGAAAATTTAAAAAAATATTGTATTATTTTCCAAAAATCATATTTTTTGCGCCGCAGGCGAAAATTTTTAAAATTTGGAATTCATAACATTCAAAACACATTAAATACCCCTTCAATATTACAACAATCAAGCAATTGTTATATCAAGACTTATTTTGACAAAGACCTTCAAAAACAGCCAATTGGTTTTAGTGACTCCTGTCTCCCAAATTCAATTTTTTCAGGGAGTAAAAAATATACGGTAATAGGAGTTCTAGCTAGTAGTATCTCGCGAGGGATCTACTAATAGTAAAAAATTGATGGAACTCCTTCGGGAACTCTATCAGTTAGGCTTCTTCAATAATTGATCTTTGTAGCAAATTATGTATGGAAATTATAAAAATAAAATAATTTTTAATGTTATTTTGGTCGGATGATATTCTGTCCAGAAGGTGTTCTAATAGAAGGTGTTTTAACCTGACACTTTAGTGAGATCAATTATAATTATGTACTATGGCTATTTTAATTTTATAAGAACCTGAAAGTTATATATTAGAAACCAGTCATGTTTAGGCTTATTTTCTATCATTTTATCAGTGAAAGCTTTATTGAAAATTTTAAATTTCTTGGCACTATTTATATGTTCAAAAATATCTTCGTTTATCTCTTTGCACCGTGAAAAATCATTAATTAATGAATTTTGTTGTAACAAAATCAAATAAAATTTAGAAAAAATTTCTGTAAAATACTCGGCTTTTTTAATATTACTTGCTTCGTTTAAAACTTTAATATATTCTAAAAATTATTAATTTTTATTAAATTATAAAAATTTTTTAAATTTATATATATATGAATAGAAACATCTTACACTTAAGCTGGATATCTAATTTTCCGGTTGATCTCTAGTAACATTAAAATTAGAGATCGAACTACCCGATAAAAGAGGTTATGCAGCACTTTGAGAAAAAAATTTAGAATAAAAAATTCCATTTCTTCCAAATAAATAAATTCTGCTGTATATGTACATATTTAGCCTCGATCCTAGACGAGGTCTCTTGCAACAACCGAAGCCGAGGTTCCCAGATTGACGCCAAGGGCCAATAAATAGACAATCGACAAGGTATTCGAAAAACGACTTATTCGAACGATATGCGTGAAAAATATATCTATCGTTTGTAAATTGCCTCGTTAATATTTATTGGCCCCAGGACGAACCAAGACCGAGAAAATGGGTGAGAACCTCGGTCTCGGCTGGGTCTTGACCTCACAAAAAATTAATGTATGTATTATTGGAAGTATATTAAATAAAATCCGAGATTTTAAAGTGACTGTTAATTTACTCATGGGTCAATTTACTCCGAAATACGAGTCAATTTACTCCGAATTGGATCGACTTACAGCAATCCCTATTTAAAATTCATTATTTTTACCTTCTGTCATTGATTTGGGAAGTATAACCTTTATCTGTTTGCTTAAATTGAATGTTACTTTCTTCTTTTTTTTAACAGTTTTTGGACTTTCTTCATTTATAGCATTACTTGTTTCCCCTTCTTCAAATTCTTTTTTATTTACAGAATCCACCAAATTCATCTTTCCTTTAACATCTTTTGGAATTTCCCCCTCTTCACCTTTTTCAATTACCGAATCCACCAAATGTACAATTAACAAAAATAATATACATAAAAATATTGAATAATTCCAAACTTTCCAATATTTCATTCGGTATTGCTTTAATCTGAATGTGCTGTTTAAATACAAGTTGATCACTGTATTAAATTTTGCGGATTCTCTAATGTATACGGTCGGGCCTAACTTTTACAAACACCCACTCAACTTTAAAAGTCTCAATTTAAAGTTTTATGTTCAATGAGTAGGTGAGCTGGCTAAGCGAGGCCCCCAAATATAAAATCGACATTAACTCAAAGATATCCCACTATAGTTAAGAATAAGTTTCTGATTCAAAACCTAACAGAGAAAGCTTTTAAAAAAGATTTTTTATATTAGGTAAAGAAATATGTAATTTGTACAATCACGCAAATTTAGTTAAAAATATACTACCTCGAATCACAACAAATGGAAACTTCAAGGACTTTTAAAATTAAATTTTAAATTTAAATAAAAAATATTTTATATAAAATTAAAAGCTATAATTTTAAATTTTCTTAGAGGGGAAATTAAATATGGGAAGGTGCTTGTCCATACCCCCCCCCCATTGTAGACGCTCGCACTCCCAGACTCTCACAATAAATTGCCATGCGATGGCAGCTATTTAATTAGATGCGTGCGGTTAAAAATGAAGCATGCTTTAAAACTGAGAAAACATGGAGCATGCATAAATTTTATAATAGATGTTCAGTTAATGTGAGTGTTTTTGAAAAATCGAGCATCGGCATATGAAAACATACTTACAAGATAAGCTCCGAAAACCGGACTTTATCAAATACCCGGTTCCTTATATGACTAAAACACTTCAGTTGCTTCAAATTCCTCGTTACTTTGACAATTGTTTGGATTTAAAAAAGACTAAGAAACAAGATTTCTTTTGTAGAAATCTGGCCAAAAACTTAATTACAAACTACAATTTTAATCTCTCCCTCTCTCCTTTGCTTAAAAATTTTTTAAAGCAGACATGCATTTACATACATGTGATATTGAATTTTAAATCAATTACTCGTGAATAAATAATAAATTTTTTATCGACTCTTTCTATAAGAAAATATTTTATTTTAATTAATTTAAAATTAAATTATTTAAAGTTAATTTAAACATTGGATAAAAACATATAAAACTAGTCAAGAAAAAATAATTGGAATAGAATAATTGGAAAGTCTTAAAAAACTCAAACTTGCATCAATTTTCATCAAATTTTCAAACAAAATTTTTAAATTAATTTAATAAAAATAATCAATCAAAAAATAAATATAGTTTATAATTAATATTTTAATAATTTTTAATAAAAAAGAAAAATAATTTTTATTTTTAGTATTTATTTGTACAGTTAGTATATTTTAATATTTTCTTTGTGTATAATAAAAACTGTTTACTATTTTTGGATTTTTGGTGAAAAAAAGAAAAATTGATTCAAATTTTAAAAATTTATTTTTATACATAAATGTACAGAAGATCTTTTTAAAAAAATTTTTTCAATTTAGAAAATTAATTTCTAATAGAAAATGCCTCTTTGGAGATTCTACATTTATTATTCCTTACCATCAAAACAAATTTTCTTTTAAATTTATAAACTATGAATCAGAATGATAGAAAAAATGCTTGTCGAGGTTCATATTAAGCAGGGATCTCAGTCGGCATAAAAAAATCCTCCCTCAAAAAAATCCTCCCTCAATATTCATCACAATAATTACCCAGGGTAGTTATTAAAGGATATTCGGTATAAGGATATTCGGTATAGGCATTTTAAAAATAATTTTATTAGAAGCGTATTTTTAGAACTATTTTTAGTATTTTTATTTAAGCAACATAAAATCATCAAAGAGTTAACGAGCGAAATAAAGCTTTCATTTTTAAAAAAGCTTTATTAAAATAAAAATAAAAAAATAATTTATTATTTGCACAGTTAGTTTTAATATATTTTATTTTATAATTTATTTAAATTCGAAAGAATGCTTTCAAACCAATCCATTTTTGGAAAAAAAAATATTTTTTATTGCAATGAAGAAAGAAAATTTTCTAAAAATTTTTATTCAAATTTATTTAATTCTTTTTATTTTTATTAATTCTGTAAAACCTCAAAATATAAGTAATACCGATGAAATTACTTCTTTGCCTGGGCTAAATTTTAAACCGAATTTTAAGCAATATTCTGGTAAATATTTTTTAGAAGTAATTTAAAATTGTTAATAAAATGTGTTTTTAAATTATATACAGTCGGATCTCACTCTAAGCTACGCTCATGGAGCTAAAAATTCCATTTTATAGCGAGGTGTAGCTTAAATAGAGGTTATTGTTTTGAACATTCCCATCATGGATGAGCGCAAGAGACAGTCTCAAAAAACGCAGACTCAAGGCCAAAATTTAACGCAAATAACGCAAAATGCAAAACGCAATGCGCTTACCCCTGATTCCCATATCGAGTGTTAACCTCTATTTAAAAACTTTTAAATAGAGGTACTTAAATTGGGCGTAACCTAAAGTAAGGTCTTGATATTAAATTAAAGGATATCTGAAGGCATCGGATAACGATTTTTTGTTTTATTGGCTGGTTACATCGCAAAATGATAATCCAAAAGGACCTTTGGTTTGATAAAAATAATTTCATTAAAACTTTGAAATCTTAAAGATTGTTTGGTTTAATGCCCCTGGTGCAGAGTTTAGCCAGCGCTGCTCACCTCTATCAATATTATTTTCAAAAATGGGTCCTTATTCAATAAATTCAAATGGAACTTTTGATAAAAATGAGTACTCTTGGAACAAGAGAGCCTCACTCTTATTTATTGAAACACCTAAGGGAAATGGATTTTCATTTGCAAAAAATAATAATTACAGAACTGGTGATAATCAGGTTGATGAAATATTTATTTTAAAAAATATTAAATAATTTAATTACCTGCTGATTTTACTATTAATTTAAAATAATTATATGTAGAAAGTCTCAGCCTCAATAAATTGATAGGAGCATAACTATTGAGCGTTAAAGACATTCAAGTTGAATTTGAGTGTTCCCGATATTGAACCAACGAAAGTTCGACTCAGCTTAAATCATACTACTCTGATCAAAATATTTTTAATATTGAGATCAGAATAATATAAAGATAGATTGTTTTCTAATTGGAATATAACATAATTAAAATATGTATTTTTAATTATTATAATAAACAGACTGCTGATGAGAACTATGTAGCACTTAAACAATTTTTCAACAAATACCCAAATTACAAAAAGAATGAATTATATTTTGCTGGAATATCCTATGCGGGTTATACTGCCCCCTTGCTTGCTAGACGTGTTTTGGATGGAAATAAAAATTTTCGTTTAAATTTAAAAGTAAAAGACATTCGGACCTCACTATACGATAAATTCTTGGGGTTGAAAAAGTTTTCTAATCATGTTTAGCTTAAATAAGCGTTACCCCCCCCCTCCCCCGACATCATAAGGTTATCAATTTAAAAAATGAAGTCATGGAATGGAAGTGGCTTCCAGCCTACTCCGCAGCGACAAACACTTTTTCCGCGTATCCTATGTAAGGGGTTATAGCTCAGATGAAAGATCTCGGCGATCTTAGACGAATGACATGCGAATCAGCTCGATTGTGGACGATTCTAAACAAAATTAAGGTTGTTCACGCAATCGCGCCTAAACGTGGTGTTCCGAATAGTGAGGTTCAACTGTACTTATTGTTAAAATAGACAAATAATAATTTAATTATTTTAAGGGAATATTATTATATAATCCAATTTTAAATGTTTATTTAAATAAAAATATGGCTGCTCAATTCGCTTATTCTCGTGGATTTGTAGATGAAAAATTGTGGAATGATTTTAAGACAAATTGTTGTAAAGGGTGTGTTGGTGGGAATATTTCTTATACTGTTTAACAAAAATTTAGTATCTAAATAAAAAAATTAAAATTATTTTTAAGATCCTTCCAATTGTGATATTAATTTTTTAAGTGGGGAATGTAGATATAAGGTAAGTTTTATGAAAGTTATAATTTAATTAATGATTTAAGACTGTTGGGATTGTAGATGTTCTTATGTCTCGACGAGTTTATCCATTCGATATTTATAGAGATTGTCCAGTAGCTCAAGAAAATCTACAACCAGGAGAACCGTGTCTTTACAGTAAGGCTTTTAATTAAAAATTATCTTTAAAATTAAGAATGTTGTGTTAATTAGAGAAAATTTCGGTATTGATAAACGAGATTTATGATTAGGAGCTTTTCTCGGTTGATCATTTTTTAACAAAAAATTCTTTTTAAAAGTTTCAACTCGTATTGAGCTAAAGTGGATTTAGATATTGAGGAATTTCTTGCTGGATAACAAAATCATAAGGGCATAAGGTCTTTTTTGGGCAGAAAGTTCTCTCCTTCGGCAGGAATTTCTTCAATATTCTTAGCCCGATGAGCGGGATGTTATTTAATACGAATTTTGAGATTAGTTTCATATATTTTTTTGTTTGTAATTAATTTTAAATATTTGATAGTTTCCGGCGCAGAATTCATCTACAATTATTTGAATAAAGAACAAGGTATAATTAATTTAAAATTATTTAGCGAAATGTTTTTCTGTTTGAGGAAAAGTTACTGAAAAAACAAAATTTTTAGGTTAATAAAGTAAATCAGGGATGTCACGGGATGAGAAAAAAGTCGTGTCTGTTCTTGGAAAGGAAAATTTCTCGGGTTGGATTTCAGGTCGAAAAATGGTCAGGGCTTCGAGTATAAGGTTTCGGGTAACCCGTACAACCCTGGTGTAAATAGACACCTGTTGTCAATCAAATTTTGAAGTTCCATACAATAGAGAATAATTTTTAAAAATTTTTAAAGTTCAAAAAGCCTTACATATACAATTACTGAATAATGAATGGAGAATTTGTAGCAATATTGGCAGATATTTATATCATACTGAATATGGTATTTGAATATTTTGGAAATTTTTTTTAATAAATAAAAATATTTAGATGATATTTCTGTAATATTGAAGGGATTATTGAAAGAAAAAATAAGAATAATGATTTTTAATGGAGATACAGATGCACTTAATATTTATTTAACTTCACAAAAAATTGTTGAAAATCTTGGGCAAAAAGTTGTTAATTTTTAAATAAAATAGAGGGAAATAAATATTTTTAAAATTAAATTAAAGTTAACAACCCCAAAACAACCTTGGCTAATTAATGGACAAATTGGAGGGTTTAAAACAGAATATGGGAAGTTATTAACATTTACAACAGGTAAAAATTTATGAAAAAAAATTAAATAAAAAAAATTATTTTTAAGTTCGAGGTCAAGGTCAATTGGTTGGTTATTTTAAAATAAATATATTTATTTTTTGGAAATTATTTTTTAAAAATTTTATTTTTAGATACATTTATATGGACCTGAAATTGCTGAATATATCCTAAATAAATTTTTAAATAATTTACCTCTTTGAATTAATGGAGAATTTAAAAATTGGGAAGAATATATAAGAGAATAAAATTACCTCTTAAAAATTAAATTTGAAATAATTTTCAATAAAATATTCACTTTTACAAATTTTAATATCCGCATTCGATAAAAATTTCGGGTTAAATATTTTTATGCGGATGTAAATGTCTAAAACAAAATTTTAGATAAAATTTTTAAATTAAATGGACCAACGTAGCATATGTCCCCGGTATCATTCTTTACTCCAAAATCGGGGATTTGAATTTTTTTCAACCCGTTACATTCCTGATGGATAATTGAGAATTTTGGAAAGCCAAGAAGCTAGACTTCATTTTTGGCTTTTTTGGAATTTTAAGGGCAGGGTTGCGTCGTAATTACGAATACAAATTATGGCGTTTTACAAATTACGACGAATTACGATTACCAAAATATCAGAATAAATTACGAATTACGAAAATAAAAAACAAAAATTACGAAAAAATATTATTGTAAAAAAACCTTTCGTACTTTGTAATTAAATTTTCGAAGGAAAAGGGAAAGAATATCTATATTTTCTTGTTGATCGGTGATTGACTTTAAAAAGTCTTGAGTCTTTTTAATTTTTGGTCTTGAGTCTTAGGGTCATATCTTGGGTTTTGTTCTTGGAGCTACGAAAATTTTTTAACTTAATTTAGTTGAGTAAAAAAGTTTGTTAGTCAGCACAATTATAATTTAATGTGTAAAATTCACTCGACTTGTAGGCAGACATAAAATTTTAATCAAATTTAAAATTTGTCTGAAATTATAATTTGCTGGCATAGAAAAAATAAAAGGATATTTTCCCAAAATTTATGCACTTTACATAATTTTAAAACAAATTAAAATTTTGAAGTAAACTAAATATAGAATTATGGTTGTTTCGATCGATTTTAAAACCGAAATTTTTGTGCCTAAAAATTAACCGTTTTTATCAAATTTTAAAGTGAAGAACCTAAGGTTCTTAAAGATGTCAGATTTTTTTGAAAAATTTACCTGAATCAGGTATTTAATTATAACTAAAAACAAAACCGGATCTTGTTAATTTAATTCTGAATTTGCAACAAACTTAGTTATCGTATTTAATCCGTAAAGGACTGTCCAAGTTTATCGTATGATTAGCAGACCGCAAATTTCAGGCATTTTGAAATTGGGAAATTTTTAGTTTACACATCATTCGATCTTTTACTTTTTACGTAACGACCATCATTTCTCCAAAGATGATCATAATCATTCTTCGTTATTTGACTTTTTCTCTTTCTTTCGACAAAATTTTTTGAAAAATTTTGAACATTTATTTGTAGCTTTTCCTTTTTTCTTTCGATTTTTTTCTTTCCATTTATTTTCTAAATTTTTAAAAAAATTCTTAATTGAATCATAAATATCTTTTTCATTTTTATTTTCGTCTTCAAATTTTATCCCAATATTTTCTAGAAAAAGTCCAATTTTATCGCAAACAGATTTTTTAAATTCAATGTTTTCTCCATCATTGTCCAATTTTTCTTCACAAATTTCTTTTCCTTTCAGCAATTTTGAAAAGTTATAATTTTCGAAAAAATTAATTTGTTCATAAACCTCCTTAAAATTTTAATTTAATTAAAAATATTTTAATTTAATTAAAATACATTTAACCTCTTAGTTAAATGTTAAAAAATAGTTAAGTTTGAGCATTGTTTGGGTTAATGAGAGTTTATGTAATAAAACCAAAACTTCTTGAAAATGCTTGATTTTTTTTAAATTTCCGAAATTTAACTGAAATTCCCCTATTTAACTAATATTCAAAACTGAAAACCAGGTTTTTATGCGGATTTATCACAATAAAAAGTTTAATTAAATTGATAACACATCCATAAATTATATAAATGACCAAAAGAATAATTTATTTTTAAACACAAAATTTTTTCAACATCTGACAGGATGGGGTACTTAATATGGAGAGGGAGTTAGAGGGATGTAATTATTTAAGTAGATACAGAATATACTTTTTGAGGCTCTGGTCACGATTATGCGTCCATTGATAATTTATGAATATATCTGTGGATCAGCGGATCAAAGGGATTATCTACTGATATCCCGACATACCTCAAATATTCTGATATCACTCAATTCACCGATATCCCTCTTTAATCCCTTCAAATCAGTTGATATTCATTTAATGGCGCAAATCACTTATTATTACCCTTAATCATTTCAGATCCCTTATTATACTTGTAAAAAATAAAAAAAATTGTGTTGATCAAATTTATGTTTTCAGGGTCGTTATAGCTTCAGGGTGTAGGTTTAAGAGTTCACCCCTTTAAAATTGGATCATACAACTTTGATTGAACTCTAATTTTTTAATGGACCTTTTTTATTATATATTTTAAATCTGTATATTATTATTTTTAAAATCTGTATACCTTATATTTTATGTCAAAACTTTTTAACTTCTTCTGGCCTTTCTTCTTTTTAATTAAATCTTTAAAACATTCAAATCTTTCGGCATTCTTGAAAAAATTTTCAATTTTCGGATATTCTTTTTTTATAATTTCAAATCTATTTTTTAAAAACTCTTTTGCATTTTCATTAATTTTTGAGGAAAACTCAAAAAATGGTTCAAATATTTTCTCAAATTTAGGATTTGATTCAATTAATTTTTCTTTTTCATTCTTTATTTCATTCTCCCAATCAACGAATAAATGTTTAATATCTTCTACTATATTAGTTCCATTTACTTCCTCAATTTCTTCCTCATCTTCTTCCTCAATTTCTCCCTTTGCTTCTGTATTTCCTTCTATTTCTTCGTCCTCTTCTTCATTTTCTCCTTCAATTTCCTCCATAATTTTAGGTAATTTATTTTCGTTTCCATTATTCCCCACTATATTTAACTTCATTTTTATTTTTCCATACAATTTTTCAAATAATATAAATATTTTTTTCTTCCCAAAAATTTCTTTTATTTTTTTCATTTCGTCTGAAATCTCATTTAAAATTTCAAAAAATTCATTTTCCTTCAATAAATTGAAATGCTCATTTAATTCCTAAAAATATATGTAGAGTTTAAAATATTTAATTATTAAAAATAAATAATTTTTTGACAAAATTTTAGTGTCAAGGCACCTTCTAATTTTCAAATTTTAATTTTAACTTATATAAATAAAATTAATTTTAATATAAACAAAAACCTCAAATTTATTTACTACAAACCACTCATTTTTCTTCTCATTTTCTATCATTTTTTGTTTCAAAACTTTATCGAAATTTTCAAATTTCTCGGCATTATTTATATATTTAATAATATTTTTGTTCAATTCTTTAACTTTAGAAAAATCTTTAATTAATGAATCTGGCTTTAATAATATCAAGTAAAATTTTTTGAAAATTCTGTTAAATTCTTCGACTTTTTTAATTTTATTTGCTTCTTTTAAAGCTTGAAAATAGACTAAATTAAAAGAAAAATTATTAATTATTATTTTTTATTTTTAAAATTTATTTATGTGAACCTTTTACCCTATTTATAGAGAATTTTCCCTATTTTTGACCTTTTCGCCCTATTTTTTCTTTATTTTCTCATTTGCATATTTTTGCCCTATTTTTACTATCTTGTAAAATTTTAAAAATTCTTCGGATTTTGTAAAAAAATGGTAAAAATGAAGGATCTGACATGCTGGCCTTCTAAAATCCTCAAAATTTTCGCCTCAAAATTTTCGCCTTATTTAATAAAATCCAAAGTTTTTAAAATTTCATGATACTCTAGATTTTATGTGAGTATTTTCGAATATCGATTTAATCAAACTTTCGAGCCGGACTATTTGAAATTCATTATTTTTACTTTTCGTCATTTCCTTGGAAAGCACAAATTTTATCTGTTTATTCTTTTGTTCATGTATAACATGATCAGGGTCATTGGATGTTTCAACTTTCTCCTTTCCTTTATCCTTTTGTCGAATTAATTCATTAGCCTTATTTTTGCTTGTTTCCCCTTTTCCTTCCAATTCTTTTTTATCTACCGAATCCACCAAATTCAAAATTAACAAAAATAATATACATAGAAATATTGTGTAATTCCAATCTCTCCAATATTTCATTCGGAAGTGCTTCAATCTGGCTGAATTTAAAAACAATTTTATTACTTTAGTGAATTTCGCAGATTCAACCTTCCTAGCGGCTAAACTTTTTTGATAAAAAAGTATCTCAAACCAATGACAACTAATGCTTTTTCTTTTATCCTTATGATCATTTAACCCCCGCATAAGTTTTAAATGCTGCTCGACGAGAAATCCTTACAATATAGATATCAGTAAAATTTACTAGAATGTATACGGTTTGGTCTCACTTTTACATACACAAAACTTTAAACACTCAATTTAAAGCAAATTTTTTAATTTGTTGGCCAATGACTTATTTTCAAAGATACGCTTGATTTTAAGTAATTTTTCAGAGTAATGTACTACTGTAGTTAAGAATAACTTGTTTGTATAAGCCCTAACAAAGGAAGCTAAAAAATTCGGTATTGGTTAAGCAAATAATTTGTACAATCACACAAATCTACATACCTTATTTACTCTGTTAATTCCCCAGGGGGATTATTGTTTCAACCCATCTCTAGGGTGGGGAATTAATAGAGACTGGGGAATTATTAGAGTGGGGTAGAAAGAGGGGATTATTGTTTCAACCCATCCCCAGGGTGGGGAATTAATAGACTGGGGAATTAATAAAGACTGGGGGATTACTAGAGTAAATACGGTAATTAGAAATAGGTAAATTACCTTGAATCACAACAAATAACAAATGAGTGAGTAAATATTCAAATAATTTGAATAACTTTTAAATTAAATTTTAAATTAGAAATTATTGAAAAAATATTTTATAATTAAAAAAATAATGCCTAGCTTCTGAGAGGTAAATTAAATATGGGAAGTTATTTAATCGAAATTTTGCTTGGCCAAATCCCCGCCCATTTGCTGATGCTCACACTCTCAGTCTCTCAATTTCTAATAAATTTTCTATATGGAAGGGCAGCTATTTAATTAGATGAGCTATCTAGTCAAGAAATGGACCATAAAGTTTAAAGAAATGAAGATAAAAAGTGAAGCATGCTTTAGAAGACGTGAAAGAATGAGAAGCAAGAGCATGCGGTTGATTTCATGGGACACTTTAAAGTAGTTGCGGGACACTCCCAAGTTAATGGGACACTCCCATGTAACTTGCTGGTGAATTTCTGGCCTTTATCAATTTGGATACCAATCTCTTTAGCTCGATGAGAGGAAAAATTTGTTAAGATTCGGAAATCTTGAAGCAGGTTGGACTGAACTCAGACTTGGCTATACTCTGATTTCATACAGTTGTTGAAGACGTTAATGTGACTGTGGAAACTCGAATATAGTCATGTTAAAATTAGAGCCCGGACCGATACGATATTTTTTCGATATTTTTCGGTATTTTTCGATATATATTTTTCGATATTATCGAAAAAATATCGACCGACAAATTTTTGTCTTTTTCGATATTTTTCGATATTCGGTATTTTTCGATATTTATCGAAAAAATACCGATCGAAAAAATTTAAAAATCGAAACAATCGACCGACCAAATTACAAAAAATCGAAAAAAATATCGAACGTCATTTTTGACAAAAATTTGAATTTTTGGCGCAAAAAGGATGCATTTTTGCTTCTTGCCCATCTGAAATTCAAAAAATTTTCGCCTACGGCGCATAAAATTTTTCTCATAAGATAATATCCTTTCTTGTCACATTAAGCCATCATATTCCCTCGATATCCCTACAACTCACTGATATGAATTTAAAAAATTTCGGTAGATTAAGGGAGATTTCAATGGGTTATGAGAAGATTTGGTGGGATATTTGAGATATCCAGGATCATGAGGATATTGTGGACATCCGGGATAATCGACTATTTGTATAACTAATAGAGGATTAAGTGGATAAAATGGATCTCAAGGGATGAAGACGGACTATGGGAAAGATGGATATCAAAACGGATATCAAACCCCAAGATTTTTATCATCTTATATCTCGTTATCCCCCGATATCCTTCTTAATCCACAAATCCCTTAATATCCTTCCGGATCTCACAAATCCACAATATCACTCTTACTACCTCTAAATCTCTCAATACACACTCAGTCCTTCAATATCCCCCTTAATTCCTTAAAATCCATTATCCCTAGTTAAAATCCACTTAGATTCCACTTGATCCTTCGATATCAAATACAAGTCCATTGATATTACATTTAATAAGTCCAAATCCACCAATATCCCATTTAATCAATCGTAATCTTATTAAACTATTAGGTCTATTCTGTTATTCATTGGTTATAGAAAAATTTTTGAAAAATCGAAAAATATCGAGACTTTTTTTTCGATATTTTTCGGTTTCGATATTTTTCGATATTTATCGAAAAAATATCGACCGAGAAAATTTTGGTTTTTTCGATATTTTTCGATATTCGGTATTTTTCGATATTTATCGAAAAAATATCGACCGAGCCCTCCGTCCGGGCTCTAGTTAAAATATATTCCTGAAGATAAGCTCCGAAACACTTTACTTATAGTGAGTAAAACGGCTCCACAGAAATGCCAGAAGATTGGATGGGACTTGATCCAGAGAGCTCTCCTATGTAATGTTGTAAACCGTTCAACCACCGACTGATCCTTTTAATTTTTGTTTTAATTGCTAGGCAAGAAGAATTAAATTTCCTCTCATTAACAATTTTCTAAAGCTCACTAACAATTTTCTTGTCTTATAAAATATGAGATAAAATTATAAAGCGTGACACGATAAAATTATTATTGTTATTTATTTTTATATTAATAAAATATTTTTTAAATAATTCAAAATTTAATTATTATATTACTAGTATTAAAATTTAATTATTCCGATACCGGTAGTATCGAAAAGTACCGCGGTACTTCGGTGCCGTGTGATTTGGGCAGTGGTGAATTGGGCAGTGAGTAATTTGGGCAGTGAGTGATTTGGGCAGTAAACGTTTTTTTAAAAAATAATTTTACACGGAAAAACAATTTGAGTAACGTTAGAAGAATAATTTTGAGTGATTTGGGCAGTATCTTAGAATTTTTAAATTATTTAAAATTGATAAAATAAATTCCGGAATTTCTATTTAACTTAAAGTAAATCCAAAATTTGAACATATTTTTCCAAAACTATTTTGACCTTTTTCAGATATTTTGGATCTATCTTGAGACCTAAAAGCTTAAAAAAGGAATTATTTCTCAATTTTTCATACCTTAAATCTTCATGCTTATCACTTATTTGTTAGGGAAACGTCAAAATTGAGACCAAGACAATTTCAACAAAGGGTAATGTTGTACCCAACGTTATCAAAATGAAAAAGGGATGCAGTTCTTTAAATTTTTGTGTAAATAATTTAAAAATTTTAAGATACTGCCCAAATCACTCAAAATTATTCTTCTAACGTTACTCAAATTGTTTTTCCGTGTAAAATTATTTTTTAAAAAACGTTTACTGCCCAAATCACTCACTGCCCAAATTACTCACTGCCCAATTCACCACTGCCGTTTTCACCAGACACGGCTAAAGCATTGTTTTTCAATAAATTTAATAAAAATTTTAGAAATAAATGTTTCGATAGAAACATAACTTTTAAACCGTGTTTAAGTACTGAAAACTGTTTAGCTATTTTTCACTTGGAAACTTTTTAACTTTTGATTGCCAATTAAAATAAAAATATAGTACATCCCTAGACAGTAAAAAATATTTGGAATATTTCATTTTTTCAGGTCTTAAAAAATCTGAAGCTCTTCTCGGATGCTACAGCAACACTTTTGTATTCAAAACAAAATTTCTTAATTTATTTTAAATTAAAAATTAATCAATTAAAATTATTTAAAATTTATAAAATTTATAAAAAATTTTTATAAAAAGAAAAATAATTTTTATTTTTAAAATTTATTTGCACAGTTAGTATATTTTAATAATTTTTTTAATTTTTGTATAATCTAAAAATAATTGGCTATTTATAAATTTTTGGAAGAAAAAAAAAGAAAATTGAATCGAATTTTAAAAATTGTATTTTTTATAAATAAATATTCTAATAATCCCGAAAAAAATTCTTGAATTTGGAATCAGAAAGTTAGAGTAAGTCTGGACTGTTTCGCAATATAACAGTAATCCTTCAGAAATTTAAAATAAATTTCCAATTTTGGGAAATCTGTTCGGCAGGATCATATAATGTCCATTGATATTTTATAAAAATAATTTTATTAAAAATATTTTTTTATTTAAGCTATATAAAATTAATAAAAAAAAGTTAATAAATCTTAGCCCGTACAACTATTACGTAATAATTTATGTATTTGCACAGTTAATTTAATTTATTTTATAATTTATTTAAATTCAAAAGAATACCTTCAAACCAATCCATTTTTGGAAAAAAATTTTTTATTGCAATGAAAAAAGGAAATTTTTTAAAAATTTTTATGCTATTTTATTTTATTCCTTTTATTTTTATTAATTCTGTGAAACCTCAAAATAATAACGATGAAATTATTTCTTTGCCCGGGCTAAATTTTAAACCAAATTTTAAGCAATATTCTGGTAAATATTTTTTTTAATTGAATGTTAATTAGATTGTATCTAACAGTCGGACCTTACTTTAAGATGTAGTTTTGGGGCTGAAAACATTGTAGCTTATAATTATTTGTATCCTTTGTATTATTTGAGCATGTCCCTCTTATCCTGTGGTCAGCCTCATTTAGTAAAGTATCTTAATTGAGATGTATTTAATATTGGTTTGTGTCCAAAATTGAAGTCTGATATTAAATTAAAGGATATCTGGATGTGTCGGATAAAGATTCTTTGTTCTATTGGCTGATTACCTCGCAAAATAATAATGAAAATGCACCTTTGGTTTGATAAATTAATTTTTTCTTAAATTTTGAATTTTAAAGATTGTTTGGTTTAATGCTCCTGGTACAGAAACGAGCCAAGGCTGCTCGCCTCTAGAAGTATTATTCACAGGAATAGGTCCTTATCTAATTAATTCAAATGGGACTCTTGACAAAAATGAACACGCTTGGAATAAAAATGCCTCACTTTTATTTATTGAAACACCAAAATCAACTGGATTTTCATATCTAAAAACTAATGATGAATATTTCAGAACTGGTGATAATCAGGTTTATGAAAAGAATATTTATAAAATAATATTGGATTCTATTAAATTAAAATGACAAGTTTCGGCCTCCATGAGGGCCAGAGCAATAAATTATATGTTGGATTACGCTTTTTTAGTTAAAGCAATACTCTGGTCACAATAAATATTTTAATATTTTGATCAGAGAGGGAGAGAGCTCTGATCTAAATATTTTTAAAAATACATATATTGAAATAAATACTCAAATTATTTATCAGGGAGATTATAACATATTTTTAATTTTTAATAATTATTATAAACAGACTGCTGATGAGAACTATGTAGCACTTAAACAATTTTTCAACAAATACCCAAATTACAAAAAGAATGAATTATATTTTGCCGGAATATCCTATGCGGGTTATACTGCCCCCTTGCTTGCTAGACGTGTTTTGGATGGAAATAAAAATTTTCGTTTAAATTTAAAAGTAAAATTAAAGGTTTTAATGAAATCTTATAGTGAAAGTACCTCAAATAAGGTATAGAATTTCGGCAGCTCCCCAGAAGAGGCTTGCCATTTAAAAAACTTATATTAAATTACTATAGTATTGGGTTTATCCTATAGTGATATTTAATCTTAATTACCTATTTTTAAAATAAGCAATTAAATATTAATTTAATTATTTTAAGGGAATATTATTAGATAATCCAATTTTAAATGTTTATTTAAATAAAAATATGGCTGCTCAATTCGCTTATGCATATGGATTTGTAGATGAACATTTGTGGAATGATTTTAAAGCAAATTGTTGTAAAGGGTGTGTTGGTGGGAATATTTTAAAAATATTTAACAAGAAATTCAGTCATTAAATAAAAAAATTATTTTTAAGATCCTTCCAATTGTGATATTAATTTTTTGAGGGGGGAATGTAGATATAAGGTAGGTTTTTTTAAGGTTATAATTTAATTAATGATTTAAGACTGTTGGGATTGTAGATGTTCTTACGGCTCCACGAGTTTATCCTTTTGATATTTATAGAGATTGTCCAATAGCTCAAGAAAATCTAGAACTAGGACAACCGTGTCTTTACAGTAAGGCTTTTAATTAAAAATTATTGGTAAAATTAAAAATGTTGTGTTAATTGAAGAGCTTTTTTAAGAAAAGCTCTGTTTAGATAACCGTGATATAAGATCTAGCTTTTGTCGTAATTTTTTTCAAAACAAAAATTTATTCACCCCCTCTTATCGACCTGAATAGAAATATTAAGAATTTCTTGCTGGAGAAAAGCTCAGAAGGTTAGGATTCATGAAAGTTAAAAAACCATAAGGGAATAAGCTCGTTTTTTTCTTCTATTTAATTTAATTTTCTTTGTCTTTAATTAATTTTAAATATTTAATAGTTCCCGGTGAATCAAAAATCTATGATTATTTGAATCAAGAACAAGGTAAATAATAATTAATTTAAAATATTTATTTAATAAAAATTAAAACTAAAAATATTTTGTAAATATTTGAAATATTTCCACTTAATAAAACACTTACTTATCGAAAATTTTGAGCGTGATATGGAGAGATAAAGAGGGATTGAAGGTGATATAAATTGATTTGAAGTGATATAAGGGATTTTTACGGATATCGTGGATATCAAGGAATTGTTCTGATATAGAGATTGAAAGTCTATAGAATTCTATTAATTTCAGAAAATTTTTATTCAATGTTCGATAATAAATTTCAGTTTTCAAATAATTTAGACATCGAAAAAAAATATTCCCTCCCTCTAAAATAACTCCTCCCTAATAAATAGCACCCCTCTAGGGGTCGATCGAAAAAATAACCCCTATGAGGTAATTTTAGAGAAAATATGTTGAATAAAATTGTGGCTCCACTTGTTGTCAATCAACTTTCGAAAAGTGTGTGCGTATATTAGAGAGTGTACATATCTGTTTGTAAGTATAAGGGATCTGACTGCAAGTTAAACTAATAATTTTTGCTGTCATCTTTAGCTACATATTTATTTAATAAAATATTTTTTTATAATTTTTAAAGTTCAAAAAGCCTTACATATACAATTAATTAATAATGAGTGGCTTGTTTGCAGTGATATTGGCAATTTAAAATATAATATGCAATATGGTATTCAAATAAAATTAAAAAATAAAATAAATAAAAATATTTAGATGATATTTCTGTAATATTGAAGGGATTATTGAAAGAAAAAATAAGAATAATGATTTTTAATGGAGATACTGATGCACTTAATATTTATTTAACTTCACAAAAAATTGTTGAAAATCTTGGGCAAAAAGTTGTTAATTTTTAAATAAAATAGAGGGAAATAAATATTTTTAAAATTAAATTAAAGTTAACAACCTCAAAACAACCTTGGCTAATTAATGGACAAATTGGAGGGTTTAAAACAGAATATGGGAAGCTATTGACGTTTACAACAGGTAAAAATTTAAGAAAAAAAAATATATTTAAAAAATTATTTTTAAGTTCGAGGTCAAGGCCAACTGGTTTGTTATTTTAAAATAAATATATTTATTTTTTAGAAATTATTTAAATAAATTTTAATTTAGATACATTTATATGGACCTGAAATTGCTGAATATATTCTAAATAAATTTTTAAATAATTTACCTCTTTGAAGAAATGGAGAGTTTAAAAATTGGGGAGAATAAACAAAAGAATAAAAATACCTCTTAAAAATTAAATTTGAAATCATTTTAAATAAAAACCAAGCATTTTTACTTTTACAAATTTTAATATTCATATCAAAATAAAATTTGAGGGTTAAATAATTCATGCGGATGTAAATGTTTTTATATAAAATTTTAAATAAAATTTTTAAATAAAATGGATCAGCGGTATATACGTATTTTCTCTATTAATTTCCCTTTTGGAATTAATATTTAATCAAGGATGGGGAATTATTCGAGTTTTAAAATTTGAGTGTGATTTTGAGCACTTGGGTGTGAGGAATTGATGTTTAAACTAGAGATAGGAATTTTTGATAAGCCTGGACTCTGGGGTTGATTTATTGACCTGGACTGGATCCTGGGCCTGTAGTCCAGGAAAAAACCTAGGCTCAGGAAACCCCCAGGAAGGTCAAAAAATGCCTGGACCTGCTGGACTTTGGATACAGGAAAAGCCCAAGCCTGGGCCAGACTCAGACCGATCTCTAGTTTAAACCCATCCTTGTCCGGGAAATTAACCGAGAAAATACGATATGTAGAAAAAAAATCATGAGGATATATAAATTTTTAACACACAAATTAGAGGGTACATATTGAGGTATATATAATTGGAGGAAGACATTTAAACCTGACATCTGTCTGTGACAGAGTTATTTGATTGTAATTGACTTTGTAAAATACAATCAAAATTTAAAAATTAAATGATGGACAGCAAATGTCAGACAATTTTTTAATGGTTCTTAGTTTACACATCTTTCAATCATTTACTTTTTTCCATACATATCTTCATATTCTTTTTCTTTCTTCAATTTTTTGTTCTTTTTATGTTCTTCATATTTTGCTTTTTTTTCTTTCACCCATTCTTTTACTTTTTTTGCAACTTTTTTTATCATCGTTGGATTTTCTTCTTTCCATTTCTTTTTCAATTCTTTGAAAAAATTTTTAATTTCAATCTGAATAATATCTTCATCGTCAATAAATTGCTCATATACAAATATTTTTCCAACATTTTTAAAAAATATTTCAATTTCATCACAAATAAATTGTACAAATTCATTTTCTCCTTCAGAATTTTTCATTCTTTTCTCACAAATTTCTTTTCCTTTCAATATAATCGAGAATTTATTTTCTTTGAGAAAATTAATTTTTTCATAAACCTCCTTAATTTAATTAGAAATATTTTTTAATAAAAAAAAAAGATTAATTTGCTTATTTTTCATAGACCATTCGAATAGTTTTTGTTAAATTTTATACAGTAAGAGCGAGGTAAAAGTTTAATCCCGGGCAGGCTTCGATCCTGCGACCTCCTGGCAGTTATTGCTAGGCGCTTTCGCTCACCACGTACAGGTGCTCTACCAACTGAGTTACCGCGATGCTGCTTTCACCATCTCTTTTAATTTATCTTAAACCCCCGCCTAGTGAGCGTTTTAAATGTTAGCCAGCTGGATCTTTCTCTTCCTTACAATACTATTTATTTAATAAATCTAAAATCGCTTTTTAAATGAGTATTCGGATCTGGATACTCGGATTCGTAAAAAGACTGGATACCCAGAAATTTTCTGTTCGGATGCCGGATCCGTATATTCGAAGATTTCTTACTAACAAAGCTAGGCATTTTTATTATTTAAATTATTTTTTAAATTAACCTTATATTTTACTTCAACCCCTTTTAATTTCTTCCCATTTCTCTCCTTTTCAACTAAAAAATTAAAACTTTGAAGTAAACGATCAAATCTTTTATCAGTTTTGAAAAAGAATTGAATATCCGGATATTCTTCATATATTTCTTCAAATTTATTTTTTAAAACTTCTTTCGCTTCTTCTTCACCAATTTTTGATAAAAACATACTATCAAAAATTGATTTAAAAATTTCCCCAAATTCAGGCAAAAATTCAATTTGTTTTTCTTCTTTTTTAAATTTCATTATTTTATCTTCCAATTTAATAAATATCTCGTTAATTTCTTCGAACACTCTTTCATTTTCCCCAACAATTTCTTCTTCAACTTCTCCCCCAATTTTTCCTTTAATTGTGGGCATTTTATCATTTTCACCTTCCTTTTTTAAAATACCAAATTTTTCCAAACATTCCTCTAATTTTTTATACTGATTTTCAAAATAGTTAACTACTTTAAAATTCCCAAAAATTTTTCTTATATCTTTTCTTTTTTTCAAAAGTTCATCCAAAATTTCAAAAAAATTATTTTCCTTCAATGATTTGATGTGCTTATTTAGCAAGCTCTAAAAACATAAAAAAAATAAATTTTACAAAATTCCCGTTGGATAATGGGTAATAGATAACGGATAAATACTTTACTAAAACAACATTTAAAACACCTCGATAAAAATTAGATGAGAAATCTCTCTCCCAAATTAATTGTTTTAACTTTGTAGAGTTACACCCAATGCTTATTTTGTCAGAAAAATATTACAGTATTCTATTAGTAGAAGTAGTGCAGGACTTGGGGACCTTCCTACTAAGTCATGGTTTTCAATAAATAATTTCCGGACATTCAGAGAAGTAAATATGTATATTTTAATAAAATTAATTAATTTAATAAAATTTAAAGAAAACCTCAAATTTATATACTACAAACCACTCATTTTTCTCCTTATTTTTTATCAATTTTTCATTCAACATTTCAACGAAAATTTCAAATTTTTCGGCACTATTTATATATTTAATAATATCTGGATTCAAATTTTCACATTGAAAAAAATCATTAATTAATGAATTTTGTTTAAGGAACTCATCAGAAATTTCCAAAAAATCTTTGCGTTTCCCAATGCTTGCTGCTAGCTTTAACATTTCTTGCTCCTCGGTTAATTCGAAAGTCACTTTCTTTTTTTCAACTTTATCTGTAACACCTCTACTTGTTTCGCCTTCCTCGAACTTGTTTTCTGTTGAATCAACCACATTTACAATTATCAAAAATAATATACATAAAAGTATGGAGTATTTCCAAACACTCAAATAGTATATCATTTGGTCGGTATATCAATCACTCCGCCCGTTCTATCTATGAAAATCTTATATTTAGCAGTTTAAAATTACTAAATTTTGAAAAATCTGCAGTGGTTACTACATATGAACAAAAGTCAAACATGTTTTTGACACCTCTGTCGTAAAATTAATTACTATTCTGACTCATTTAAATATTTTTTGTTAAAATTTCTTATAGTTAAAATTTATATATTTACCCTTATAAAAGTCAAAAACAGTTTAACTATTTCTTTTCTGACAAAGAGAAATCTAAAAATAATTTTATTTTCATTTAACTTAATAATTTTTTAATCAAATTAATTTAATTTAAATACAATATATTACCTCCAAATAATTGCGAATACCTTGAAAGTTTAATGAAATTTTTAGAAATTTTTTTAAAAATAATTTTATATATGAAAGGACTTTTAAAAAAATTGAAAAATGTGAAGGGAAGGGCTAAATTAAATAAATGGGAATAATTTATTAAATCAGTCAATAATGCTTGCCTCCTCATTGACGCTTGCTCTCTCAATAGACTTACGCTGCGCAAGACAGCTAAGCATAGCGGCTAAAAATTAAGCATGCCTTCTAGACACACGCTGGAAAACGTGTACATTGGCATAAGGCCATGTTGTGGAAGCTAATGTGATGTTTAAAAGGCGCACCCTAAAACGGCCTTCAACAAAAAACGGCCCATCTCAAAAATTCGTCGAACTATAAATTAAAAATAGAAGGAAAAATAAATTAAAAATAGAAGTACCATCACAGAAAAATTTCATCAAAAACCTCTAATATAAGACATAAAAATTTATAAAAGAAAAAGTTTCAGAAACCAAATAATTTTATCAAAAAATATTTTTAAAAAATCATCGTCCATTTTCACTTAATAAATTAGTGGCCCTAAAGAGGGCGTTTGGGTTTGGATTTTTGTAGATCACATTGGAACGGCGGCTTGCTAGACAAAAGAACGATGTGTATCAGTTCTCCAGCTAGGAATTGAATTAAAAACTAAGAATTAAATTAAAACCACTGCACCTTCGACGAACCCATTTCTTGTGTCAATTTTATTCTAATATTTTTTTAAATACTTTAATATTTAAATTTTATTTAATATACATATAATTAGTCAAATCTAGACATAAATTCACCCCAAGAGAACGACCAAGAGATGGCCTATTCCGTTTATAAAAACCGTCAATTTATTAAAAATTCGCAGCTTTTATTCTTGCAATCGGAAAATTTAACAAAGAAATTTCCGGTTTTCCCGGTCCCGGTCTTTCATTTTCTTTAATGGTTATGTTTTTGACAGAATTCTAGCTCAAGGTAAATTTAATTTTTTAGGAGAATGTCTCAAACAAATTAGCCACAAAAATTTCTTACATTGGCGTTGGGCATTACCCAGAGGGTTCAATTTAATAGGTATTCTTGTCCAAAAATTTTGTTTGCGTTGTTCTTTTCTTGTCGATGTTTCATGATGTTTGAGATTATTTAATTAAAGACGTTTTAAAAAATTGAGAATTAATTGGCAAATCTGACTCTAATAATTTTATAAAATCAATTGGAAAGAGTGGATAATTTTAAAAATGTTAATCAGCGTGATGCAATCAAATCACCATGATGAAGTTTAGAAAAGGAAGACAGACATTGAGGGAAGTCGGGATTTCTCATTCTGACGATTTAATCATTCTGACGCAATTTAAAATTAGACTGCCTGAATTTTAAATTTTAAATTAATTTTTATTTTGATTTATCAGAAATTCTTTTATTAAAATTCCAAAAATTAATAAAAATAATAATTTAATTTTTGATATTTTTCAAACAAAAAATCCTTAAAAATTGGAAATTTAAAAATATAATTTTCTTTTAATTTTCAAAATAATTTTAAACATTAATCAGACTGACGTAAACAAGAAAATGCCGGCAAAGGAATCAGGAAAACCCCTTACCCTTAATAAATTTTGAGGGCATTCTAAGGACAACTAAATATAAATAAAAGGGCAAAAGTAATTTAATTATTCCATAATTATATTCTAATTTATTAATTTTAATTTAATTAATTTTAAAATAAAGAATATTATTAATTAAGATATAAAAAAATAAAAAAATTTAAAATGAAGCTTTTTATATTTTTTATAATAATTCTTTTGAATTTTAAATTAAATTATTCTGTTCAATTGCTTAATAATATTTTGCAAAATATTACAGAAAAGATAGAAGGTTAGCTTTGAGGAAATGTTTTGGGGCCTTTGAAAATTTTAAAATATAGAGGAAGTGATTACGCGGTTCTGGTAACTACCGTATATTCTTTAATAACTACCCAGGGTAATTATTGTTTCGACTGGAGGGAGTGATAAATTGAGGGACGGTAATTATTCTAGGTTTGAAATTTAACCGTGTTTCAATCCATCTGTTGGGGGTAATTATTGTTTCAATCCATCGGTGGATGGGGTAATTAATGGAAGTGAGGTAATTATTTGAAAGAGGGCAATTAATACAGGTTATACGGTATTTCAAGGAATCCCCAAAAAATCTTTTCCTTTTTCAAAGGATTTCCTCCTTTAAGTGGTTTTAGCTTAAGTAAGAATATATTCGGAGGAGAAATAAATACTTTATATTTTCTTTGATCAAAATTTTGTGTTTCACATTTAATTTATTTTAAACAATTACAGAATCCCAAATCTACACACTTCAAGTTCCAGTTAAAGTTTGTAAGTTTGTCAAAATTATTTTTAATTTACCCATTTATTTCAATTAAACTTTTAGCTGATGGTGGGGACATTTGGATGATTCAAGATTTTGACGGCCCAAATGGGTTCAGTGGACGTAAAAATGAAACAGTTAATATTGAGGATGTTTTGAGGGCCGTACATGGAATTGAAGTTGAATGTGTGTTTTTTAACAAAAAAAAATTAATTATAAATGGAGATCAGCCTAAAATTATTAAACTAAAGTTACCCAAATAATTTTTAAAAGCATTCAGTCATTTCTTTTTAGTTAATAAGATAGCTTATTGAAATAATTTTCTCATTAGAATAAAAATAAGCGTTAATCAAATTAGCTCACTTATCCAAATTCCGTCTAGGAAAAACAGAAAGAAATACTGAGCATAAACAGAAAAAATACGAAATTTAGTTAAATTATTACAATTTTTGGGATAGCGATCCATTGTATTTAACATAGTACATCCGACTCATACATAGATAACAATTACCTGCCTATTCCTCTCATTTATGCTTTTCTATGAGTATATTATTTTTCGGGTCCTCAAAGCTGTATAAATAAAAAATGTCCATTTTATTTCGCGCAATTAAACAAAAAATATTAGTAATAAATTTATATTAAAGATGTTGAGCCACCGAAGGAAAATAAAAATTTTGTTCCAAATGTTGAGAGAAGTGGGGAAATTCGTTTTAAACAAGATATTGATATTAGAGGAGGTGGAAAACGTCTTAGAAAAAGTAAAGGAGAGAAAATGTATATTTGGGATTTTGCCCATCGAATGCGCCGAATTGATAAACGATGGATGATTACTGGAGAAAAGCCAAAACCTGAACATATTTTTCGTTTTCTGATTGATGGGCATGCAATGTTAGCACTTTTAAACAATGCTGGGGATGAAGTAGCACGTTGTAAGTTTCTTTAAAGGAAGGAGATTAAATCAAGACCTCGCTAAGATTCAGTTTAGAGATGGTGCTCCCGCTTTGCATCGGGATCTGATGCACATCCCGGATCCCGGCTCGGGATTGAGATTGGCCGAGATCGGGATATATATTTCGGGAGCGGGATCAGAAAAATCGGGATCGGGATTCGAAAAACCCGTGATAATTCCGCCCGATCCCGACCGGGATCCCGATCCCGCTCAACCCTACTTTTCAGTTTATTTAATAGCCCGCTTTAATTTATAGTCCACTTCAATCGACAAGGCTTAAATCTATTCAGAAAAGAAAGTGGAAATGTTATTGTAGATCAGGAAGATTTAACTGAAAGAATTGACACAACATCCCTCAAACGTTTTCGAGGCCAATATATCAAAAATGGATTTACTCCTCCCTTACATACTCGTAAAATGACAATAGAGGAGGTAAAAAGAGTGGCACATGAAGTGATTGGAGGAAGGCCTTGGGGCGGAAAAGATGGATTTAAATGCCATCATTTTGTTTATTCATTGACACAAGCATTGGTAGAAGAAAAAGATAAAAATGAATTGCTTGATTATTCGGTATGGCCAGAAAGTTTAAGAGTTTTAGATGAAAGGATTAATCGGTTGGATGGAACATTTGCATTTTTTGATAGTGTTCCTCTTGTGTGAGTATTTTTATTTAAAGTATTTTAGTGACAGATTTATTTTTGTGGGGAACAGAGGAACGTGTTTAGTTACCGTAAATCCTCTGAAATAGCCCTCCCCCACCTCTAAAATAAGCCCCCTCTAGAGGTCGATCGAAAAAAATAAGCCCCGGGGATTATTTTAGAGGATTTGCGGTAATTAAAGACAAAAATTAAAAACTACATTAGTGGTTGTTTATTTTATCCGCATAAAACTATCAACTAGATAACCAACCCTTGACAGTCCGACAAACAGCAAAAAGGGCAAAAACGGCTCAAAATCCTTGCTAGAAAGAGCAAATTCTTTATCGAATGAGACCGGTCTCGACCGTTTTTAGGTCGGACACCACTCAACTTTTCTTTGTAAAGAATTTAATTCATTCAGATATCCCTCTCCGAATTCGTCTGAGACAACAGAAATACAGACAACACCAAAAAATAAAAGAAAGATTTTTGAATTGTCAAAATTTTGTAACCCTCAAAATGGAGAGCCTTCACCTTTTCCATATAATTTACATTGTGATACATCGAATGTCCAATATGGTACCGCTATTGCTTATGGTAAAAATTGGAAAGGATTGCGAGCAAATCGGCCAACTTTATTAAATAAATTTAAAATAAGAAAGCCTTTCACAATAAATTCTCTTCCAAGAATACCTTTAAAAAAGGAAATGATCAATCCATTGTTGTCTCCTTCTACTCCACAATTTTTAAAAATTTAAAAATGATAAAAATTTTTGTTTTGTTATTTTAATTATTAGTTGTGAAAAGTTGTCAATAATTTGTTATTATTAGGGATGGGAGTAGTTAACCGTAGGGGTCCGTCGTGGCTGTCAATAACTGACCCTATCCTTTTGGGGTAAATTATTGCCAGCCGGTCAATTAAAACCTATTAAAGGAGTGTTTTGACCTTTTATCTTGCCGCAATTTGTAATTGTGTTAAATTTTATCCCTTTGAAGTTGCCGACAAAAAAATAACATAATTATTTACAACTGTTTTTACACGACGGTGATTTCAGGCAACCAAGACGGTGATTTTTGTTTGAAAATTTTAAAAGCAATTTGTAATACAAATTGCTTTTTCCCCCACGACGGTAAATTTCGCACAAAATTTTTAAACTTATGAAAATTTTGTAAATACAAATTGTTTTTCCCACGACGGTAATTTTCGCGCAAAAACCCACGACGGAAAAAATAGTAAATACTAAAAATTTTTCGCGCAAAATTTTTAAGGGCATGCGGTGCAAACCCGCTTTTCTCGAACTAATTTGGCAGCCAAAAATAAGTGAAATGTTTATCTTCTCATATCTTTGTTTTGCCGATAAATTTAAGGACTTATGTAATTTACTAATTTTATAGTAGGTGAATATTTGTAAAATTTTTTCCCGCGAATATTTAATAAACTAATTATTTTCAAAAATCTGATATACCTACAACTTTTAGTTTTCAGAAACTGTTTCGCGCAATAACTTACTAACTTATTTTATATTAATTAAAAATTAGCTTTTTTAAATTATATGATGTGGCGACAAATTTTTATTTTGCAATTACAATCGAATAAGTTTTATGTCCACACTTGCAGAAAAAACATGAAAAGAAATAAAACATCATTATGATGGATGGGTGTAGCACAGTCGGTTGTGCTTCGGTTGGGGTCTTTTCCACGATGGTTCTATTCCATCTCACAAACAAAGAATTTTTCTACAACATGAAAATAATAAAAATTTTTCAGCAAATATTTTAGAGTTTTTTAAAAAGTTTTAAATATTTATAGCTATGAATTTAAAATTTTTAAAAACTAAGAAATTAATTTAAAAAATAAAAATAAGGAATGTATGAATTTATCCAATAAGGTATTGCGCAATACAGAAGCAGATGTTCAAAAAAAGAAAAGGAAGGGAAAAAATGGAAGAAATATAGTACGAAAAATTAAAGAAAAATTAAAAATAGGAAAAATAAAAATAATAGGGCAAAAAGATAATAGGTCAACTCACAAAATTTGCGAATGAAAATGTAAAGATATAAAATGAGCAGGTGTTTAAAATTGTATTAAAGAGTATGTAGATGTCATTCTCGTTTTTACGTTTTCATTATTCAAATATCCCAAAATAATTTATTTTTATTTTATATTATTTTTGGAATTGCATTTTTTAATTTTTAAGATTTATTGTATTATTTTTAAATTTTAATGTTTAAAAAAATATATATTTTTAATATTTAATAATTCAATATGTTTTTTTTAAATTTACTTTGCATTATCTAACTCATATTTATTCTCCTCTTTTTTAATAATTAAAAATTTGCTTGCTATTTTAACCATAATTTAAATTAAATAAAAACGAGTATTCTTAAGTTTTTTAGTTTTATTTTTTTAAATCTATTTTCATATAGAGTAGTTGTCAAAAAGGGGCAAAAATTAACTGAATCTAGTCTATACGATGAACGAGACACCTCTGCAATTAATCTAAATTTAGCACGCTTATAGCAAATTTCAAGGCTTTTGAACAGGTCTAAAAAATGGTTTAAGTTGAAACCCTATTTTACGTTGATTTTGAATTATAGGGATATCGATACTGAAATCAGATATGAGCCTAGTTCTTTTTTATTCTCGCTTATTATTGATCAATATATTTGCTTGTATTTTTAGATTTTTTATTGGGTGAGTACCTTGATATACGACTTTGTCCCTTTTTTGTTAGTTTAGCTTGGATTGGAAAGTGTAAAATTAAGCCGGCAAATCTTATTCTAATTAAAGGAATTAAAGGGTTAACCAAACAAAAATCTCTCCAAATCGATTTTTAACTGAGTAATAACAAGTCTTGATTTCATTTAATTTTGCCTCTCTTTTTGACCACTACTATATATAAATTTAATTAATTTTAATATAATAATTAAAAACCTTTTATTAAGTAAAAAATATTTCCTTAAAATCGCCTATTCTTACTAGGACTTTTCTTATTAGGTTTTATTAGAGCTACCTATATGGAAATCCATATTTTTTTCTTGAATTAGTTCAAATCACAATTTCCACCCTTATCGATTTCGAAAATCTGGACTTTCATTTTCATATTTTCCATATTTTATCAATATTTCTGCAAAAAATATTCGATGGATTGAAAATCTTAGACAAAATATCCTACCATAAATGTCCTACCCATTTAGGTTTTTTGATTTTAAATTTACCCAATTAGCTCAATTCACAAAGCAGTCCATCTTAAAATGTCCAAAGTGTAAAAATACCCAATCCATCGAATTATTAATGAAAACAATAGGAAAATTTCTTATACGACAATAAAAAATTTTTATTGTAATTTTTATTTTTGTAAATTTTAAAAAATTTCATACATATCCTGGTCCGAATAATTTGGTTATTTAGTCCATATAATTCACAGCCCTAATTATTATGATTTTACTTTGATCGAGACCATTTAATTTTGCAATTTAAAATTTTAATTATTCAAAATAAATTTAAGTCAATAAAAATTATTTATATTTAAATTTCACTGCATCATCAATTTAAACTAAATTTGAGTTTATTTTTCCAACTACCTAAATTGATTGTAAAATTTTATTTTTGAATAAAGTAATTATCTCCTTAAAATTTTATAAAGAGAAAAGTGCCCTTGGATCCTTAACCCCTCTCCTTACTTTCCTAACTTATAAAGTTGGGGAACCGGCCTCTAGGTGAGGCGATCCAACTTCTTGTTGGTGAACCGGCCTTTAGGTGTGGCGAACTGACTTTATAAGTGGTATACGGGTCCTTTTGGGGAAAATTCCTTTCCTAACTTATAAAGTTAGGGAACCGGCCTCTAGGTGAGGCGATCCAACTTTTGTTGGTGAACCGGCCTTTAGGTGTGGCGAACTAACTTTATAAGTGGTATACGGGCGGAGCAGTTCAACTGAGTCCCGGCTCAACTGAGTCCCGGCCCTATAACTTAGCAAGAAAAGAACACTTTTTCATGTTCTTGGTATCATTTGATAGAGAATTAAAAGCTCTATAACATATCAAAAAATCAGAATTTTTGACCGATTGATAAAAAAGTTATGATTTAAAAACTAACTTTTTCAAAAAAATCTGATTTTTCGGCACTTTATCGATCATAACTTTTTTACCAGTCGGTCAGGAATTTTGATTTTTTGGTATATTGTAGCCTATTTAATGCTCTATCCAATGGTACCAAGAATAACAAAAAGTGACCATCCCTTCATAAGTTATAGGGTCCGGGACTCAATTGAGTCGGGACTCAATTGAGGTGTACCGGTATACGGGTCCTTTTGGGGAAAATTCCTTTTCTAACTTATAAAGTTGGGGAACCGGCCTCTAGGTGAGGCGATCCAACTTTTGTTGGTGAACCGGCCTTTAGGTGTGGCGAACTAACTTTATAAGTGGTATACGGGTCCTTTTGGGGAAAATTCCTTTCCTAACTTATAAAGTTGGGGAACCGGCCTCTAGGTGAGGCGATCCAACTTTTGTTGGTGAACCGGCCTTTAGGTGTGGCGAACTAACTTTATAGGTGGTACAGTGGTGTTTTGGGGGAAATTACCTTTCTTAACTTATAAGGTTGGCGAACCGGCCTCTAGGTGTGGCGAACTAACTTTATAGGTGGTACAGTGGTGTTTTGGGGGAAATTACCTTTCTTAACTTATAAGGTTGGCGAACCGGCCTCTAGGTGTGGCGACCTGACTTAGTGAAACATCCTTAAATCATTCCGTCTTTCTTTTGAGAAACTTAGTCACTGGTATTTCTCTTTTATAAAATTTCAAGAAAATAATTTACTTTATTTAAAAATAAAAGTTTTGATTTCTAATGATGAATTGGAGAAATAAACTCAAATTTTTTAAACAAATGTTGAATCTGAGACTTCCATCTAATAAAGGATTTGTTACTCCACCTCCACGTTTACCTACCCCACCGCCTTTTATTGAAGGTGAATATGAAGTGGAGTCAATTGTCACCTCAAGGATTGTTCAGAACCTAAGAACGGG